ACTCATGCCATTTTCATCTCCATTTTTAAATGCAGTTTCTAGAACATTAACTGATTGTTTGGTTTGTAAGTGCTGTTTACTAAGTCTGAATGTTAATCTTATTTCATACAAAAGATAGGTAGGTAATTAGAAGTGAAGTCTGGAGTGAGAGCTTTAGGGGAAGAAGGGGACAGAGCACCAAACCTCTTGAAAGCTTGGGATTTTGCCATTCTCTCTTGCTTGTAATAAAACTCTAGTTAGTGTTTTGATTCCTTTGCACCAAGAGAGAAGGGGAGGGAGGCACATTTCCAGCTAACGAGGTGGCAATTCTTTTTCATCACTAGCTTCCCTTCCAGATGAAGTTCTTAGGATCTTTTCCATATATGTTTCCAAATACCTAGCTGGTATTCTAGAGAGAGAGAAGTAATTAGGAACATTAGGAAAAGACAAGTTAAGAACTCTTTGGAGCAAGAGTACGTATTCGGGGTTATAAAATGTATGTTGTCCCGAATATCTAAAGGACTGAAACAAGCATCTTGAGAAAATCTTCTGTCCTTCCCAACTGAGCCTCCAAAAAACGGCCCTAATAGCATTTAACCAAAGTACCTTGACCTGCTCTTTGAAGTGAAAGCTGCAGAAGAGGTTAGGAATTAGTCCTACCCTGAACAGGTAAGGCTAATTGCACTCTATGAGCTGCCACATTTGAACAGAGCAGCAGTCTGTAAACTTATGATTGACATCTCTTCAGTAGATCTTCTACAGAGAATGAAACAATTGGCTGAAGAGCACAATAATGATTTTTGGCTTGTACGTTATTGTAGGTAGTAATGCCACCATGAAAACTAGCAGGAGGAAAATTTTAGCTTTCTTTGTAAATTTATGCTTCCACAGGGGTTTATAGAGCTCCTTAAGGAAGAAACCGATGTCAGTTATAGGAAAACTTTATAGGGTGCCAATTTACTACCATACTCAAGTGTCAATTAATGTTTCTTATTTGGTTTAAATATCTGCTTGTCATTTTTGTACCTCAGAAATTAGATATTTTTCTGACACCTGCCATATAGCTTGGTTATATAAATGAATAACCATGTTTATGAAAGAATCTCACTAGCTATTTTATGTGAAGCCATGCAAGGGCATTCTGTTATTTGGCCCACCTGGAACAGGTAAGACAATGCTCGCAAAAGCTGTGGCTACTGAAGCTGGTGCAAATTTTATCAACATTTCCATGTCAAGCATTACGTCAAAGGTTAACGGCAAAATAATTATTAGGTCGACAGCATTCACTTGTGGTTTACTTCATTGCCCTTTGTTTTACAAGTTCTTCCCGTCTTTCTGCAGTGGTTTGGTGAGGGCGAGAAGTATGTGAAAGCTGTTTTCTCTCTAGCCAGTAAAATTGCCCCAAGTGTTGTATTTGTTGATGAAGTAAACCCTCCCATATATCCTGTCTATCAATCATCTGCAACATCATCATGAGCATCTACTCACCTTGAGTTTTTATTTTTATTTTAAAATTATTTTAAAAACTTGATGGTATTCATTAGGTTGACAGCATGTTGGGTCGAAGAGAAAATCCAGGGGAACACGAGGCCATGCGAAAAATGAAAAATGAATTTATGGTAAACTGGGATGGTTTGCGAACAAAAGACACAGAAAGGGTGCTGGTGCTTGCAGCCACAAACAGACCTTTTGACCTTGATGAAGCTGTTATTCGAAGGCTTCCTCGTAGGTAAATAGTTACCTAAGAAGTGCTCATTGGATTCAGAGCACGGGTCTAACACTCCTGGGCGAAAGACATGCTCTCCTTATAATTTTTAAATTTTATTGTGTTAGTAGTACCTTTCACTTGCAGAAGATCCACAATTTGTTTCGTCTGCAGGTTGATGGTGAACTTGCCAGATGCTCCAAACAGAGCAAAAATAATAAAAGTTATTTTGGCAAAAGAAGATTTATCTCCAGACTTCGATTTTGATTCAGTTGCTAGCATGACAGATGGATATTCTGGGAGTGACCTTAAGGTAAATATTATACTGTTTCTGACTTCCTGTTGGTGGTTCACCGCTTGCAGCAAAGTTATTTATTATTAATAATTTTTTTACTTCAGAATCTTTGTGTTGCTGCCGCACACCGTCCAATTAAAGAGATACTGGAAAAGGAAAAAAAGGCAAGTTCTTTTATCATGAGCTAGCACCACATGCTTGATTATTTATAACACATGTTAGATGCCACAGATGATTCACTTTACTTTACTATTGTCGAAGTATTTCTTGGTCCTACTCACGAACTTTTTATGATGTTTAAAAATGTCAATGTTTTGAGAAATATTGGAAAAGGAAAGAAGAGGCAAGTTCTTTCATTATGAGTGAGCTTGATTTCTCATGCTCGATAAGTTTAAGATGCCAGAGATGTTTTGGGTTTTTTTTTTCCCCCTTTCATTAGTGCTGAACTCTTTTTCTGGCTGCTGCATGATTTTTTATAATCTGAAGGTTCAAAAGGTCAATATTTTACTTTTGCTAATTTTGGTTGCTATGGTGCATTGGCAGGAGCGTGCTGCAGCTCTTGCAGATGGCAGGCCAGCTCCAGCGCTTAGTGGAAGTGAGGATATTCGGCCTCTAAATATGAACGACTTTAAATACGCTCATGAACGGGTAACAGGATATCTGAAATTATATGAATACATCCTTTTGGCCATTTTTTCTGCTTTGTCTTGTATGTTAAGAATAATTTCCAAATCATCAGGTATGTGCAAGCGTTTCGTCCGAGTCTGTAAACATGACCGAGCTTTTACAGTGGAACGAGCTCTACGGTGAAGGGGGTTCTAGGAGAAAGAAGGCTCTTAGTTACTTCATGTAAGCTGATATCTGTACAAATCCTCGAGTATCTCCCATTAATATCCATGCTTCTCCAGACGCCAGTGCCTGCTGAAATCTAATTTATCTTGGGGTCTTTCTGGAAGCCAAAATTCTCTAGTATGAAAGTATAGGTTTTTGTAACTTCTTTTCTCTCTCTCTCTCTCTCTCTCTCTTCTTTTTTGAAAGTTAGTTCAGAATGATTGGTATAGGAGTGGAGCCGACCAGAGTTTTGGTCATCTCCATGACTTGTGTTTTGTGCCATCAGTAAAAAATGTATCCTAAATTTGGAACTTTATTTACTTGGAAGCAGAGGAAAAAAAATCACCATCTTCTTACATTTTCCCTCTCATTCTTTGCTGGGTTGAACAATAACCGTAGCATAGTCTCCTTTGTACCCTGCAGATGGAGATAAGACATCTTTTGAACTAAACAAACAACAACTTCCCTTTCATTTTATTTCATATTGTCATTGGTAGTTTTTTATTTATTTATTTATTTAAGGGTTTCACGTGAGATGAAGCCGATTTGACAGTAAAATAAAGTATTTGTCGGAATCTAGTTATAATGTACAGTACATTAAAACTATATCGAAAAAAATTAGTCAGTAAAAAGCTTACACAACTTTGGGCTAACACAGATTTCACAGCTCCAAACTAAACAATTTCACTCTAATGGTTCTCTAGACATGGAAAGGTCACCAGAGAGTCTTACGAAAAAGGGGCAAACTCGGACCATGAAAGGAAAGGGAGGTTCAACATCCGTCAGCCAGCATGCATCCCCCATCAGGGAGGAAAGAAGAAGTCCCATCATTTCTTCAGCACCGTTCTCGGCTCAACGGATGGTGACTCGGAGTATGAGGGCCCACCAAACTCAACCGGCTCGCTCACATCACGGCAGCATCAGAGTTTACAGCTTCAGCTCCTCCACCGGCTATACAGGAATCGCCAGCATGAATTACATAACTCTACACTACTTATTGAAAAATGCGAGATAGTTTGAATGTCATATTTAATATTAATCTCCTAACATATAAAAAACCAGTAATGTAACTTATCAATTAGTATAGTAATAAGGTTCAAATAATTGTTTTATTTGAAATATCCATCAGTAGAAACTTTGTCGTTTTTATTACCTTTATTGATCAGGTACATAATTCTAATTTATGTTAAATTATAGTTTTTATTATAATCCAAAAAGACGAATGAATTTTCAAACTATTTATTTTACTGCTCAATTACTCTATTTGTTTTATTTTATTATTATTGTTTTTTCTTTTACAATACGAGGTAGGAGCGATGAATTTATTGAGACTAATCGATATTTACTCATTGGTTTATTATTATGAAACATATTATGATATTACTCTCTTTTGAAGTACACTTCTTAGGCTATACCTAAAAAGGAAAAAAAAAAAACGATTTCATGTACACATCGTTGTATTTTCATTTTTTCTAAAATGAAATTTTTGATAATACAATTAAAATATAATATTAACTAGTTAACCTAGAATCTAATATTAACTAGTTAAGTTATATTAATTAACTTTTATTAATATTAACCAAAAAACATGTTTTTTAATACTATTAGAAAATCTAACATTCCACAATCAAGGAGGAGCTAGAGCTCCCATTATTATTGTTCTGAAAAATAGGAACTCAATCAATAGAAGGTTATAATGTAATACATTTTCCTTTGAAAAAAAAAAGAATTAATACATTTTAAAATTAAATTAAATTAGATTATATTTGAAGATTACGATTTAATTCATATTATGACTAGAAAAATCTATTATTTAATTTCTTTTATTACATGTGAAGTGAAAATTCGAACTCATACATTTTAGTGCGATTAGATGTTTTTGACCCGTCTAGCTTTATTCAAATTCACATAATTATTTAATTAGTATATTGGCACTTTCTAAATTTAATTTACTTATATCTAAGAATTTTGATTGACTAATTAATTAATAAATGGAATTTAAATCGTAGACAAACTTTTTGAGTATGAATCGGGGTGCACCAGCTCTAAAAAAGGATGATTCTGTAGTTGTAGTGACGGCAGTTTACGGTTTCTCCACGAGGACTAGGAGATCTTCATCTTCTCTCCCCTTCAGAGTTTGGTATCTCGATCCGTCATCTCAATTCGGCGTCTCCATTTTCATTATTCACAGTTCGATTCGAGGTTGTTCCGGACGTTCGCCACCATTTCAAGCCGCCGGAGCACTACCAGGAAACCCAAATTCCATGGCGGATCCGATTCCAACACTGCATAGATCCGCCAACGACTTCTTTTCGGATCCACTTGATTCCCATCCTCTCTGGTTCAAGCCCGACCTATTTCTCTCCCCGAATTTTGATTCCGAGTCCTACATATCTGAGCTTCGGACGTTTGTCCCATTTGACACCCTCCGATCTCAGCTCCACTCCCATCTCTCCTCTCTGAACCGTGAGCTCATTGACTTGATCAATCGTGACTATACTGATTTTGTCAACCTGAGCACAAAGCTTGTCGATGTGGAAGCTGCCGTCGTGCGAATGCGAGCTCCTTTGGTTGAACTCAGGGAGAAAATTGAGCAATTCAGAGGCTCCGTGGAGTTTTCCCTCTCAGCATTGCAGAATGGGCTGCGGCAGAGATCAGAGGCAGCATCGGCTAGAGAGGTCTTGGAATTGTTGCTCGATACGTTTCACGTCGTCTCGAAGGTATTGTGTGTTTTGAAATTTCATTTTGACCGGATACGGCTATAGATGACTAATGTAGAGTGAATTTCAGTTGGTACTTTGAATTCCAAAATGTTGAGAAGTTTTTAGAGAGTTGCATGGACTGTAAGGTAGAGTGTTGACTACCAATTAACTTCTTAGCTCCACGAATGCCTAGTAGACGTTTTTCTAGAGCTGTAATAATTCATCGTGGCCCGTGTATACACATATAGGGCGTGGATGAGTTTTTGCAGAAGGGAAGGTGGGTTGAGCATTGGTGAGTTTTGGTCTCTTATGGGTTATAACTTTGTCATGGTCGTGGGTCATTTGTTTATCACGCCAATTAGGTTTCATTCGAATACAATGGGTAAATATAATTTCGATAATTTTTTGGAAATTTTGATACGAATTAGAGTTTCTCATAAACTTTTCTGTGCATTAAGATGTCATCACATCTCTGTTCTGTGCTGCTGAAATTCCATAGACTTTCTAGGATTTGCGCCTTCTGGAGAATATAATGGGACGAGCGAAATGTATACCATTTATAAGATTATCTTTTCTTATAAAGTAGGAATACTTTTCTGATTGATATGCATAGACAATATATTCTTGTAAAGTAGGAATACTGTGCCTTCAATCATTTTGTAGCTATACTCATCTCGACCATTGCAAGGATAATTGGTCTGTGCCTTTAAAAATCTACAATTCAATGTTTGTTTTGATCTTGTTTCCCTAGATCTTTATGCTATTAGCTTCATACTTATTTTCGGGCTGTCATTACTTCAGTTGAGTCCTGATGGATGCAGGTTGAAAAACTGATCAAGGAGCTTCCAAGCGCACCTGCTGATGGCTCAAATGGAAATATGAATTTAACAGATAAAAGTGTATTAAGTAATGGTACTTCTTTACCACACATGGAGAATGGAACAAGTCTTAGAGAAACACAAAGTATGCTCTTGGAAAGAATTTCCAGTGAAATGAATCGGCTGAAATTTTACATCGCTCATGCACAGGTCTCGTCTATACTCTTCACAAAATTATCATCCATCATGGTGTATGTTTTGGAAAGATTTAGTGATGAATTCCCCGGAATCTACATTTAGGAATTGGGTATTCTAGCACAAATCACACCAACTACGTTTAATTATTTCACAAGTGAAATTTACAGAATAAGATGATTTTCTCGTGGCTTAAAAAATAAGGTTATGGAACTTCCGATTGTAGGAAATGCTGGTGATTTACAGATGATATTATTCTTAAATATCATAGAATTTTGTACTTGATTGTTGTATACTAGTTATAACTTGGATATTTTAGTGGGGGCTTCTGTAGATAATTAAAAATCAATTAGGATTTTATCAGTCCACTTCTTTGTTAGTAAATAACTTCCCTTGGAATCTATGGATGATGCCATAGTTTGTTTCCAGTTTCATTCCCTCAACCTGATGAAATCTGTTTCTTTTTACTCCTTTTTACTTTATTTATATCAACGTTTAGTTTAGGCCACCTCAGTATAGTAGGGGAGAATGAAATCTGATGCCTTGTTAGTAATCATGGCTTCATTTTGAAGATACTTTTGTTTCCATACCTATTGTTTTTCTGTGTTATGCCAGTACAGAATCTTCCATTCATTCAAAATATGGACAAAAGGATTCAGAGTGCCAGCCAGTTGCTGGACACGAGCTTGGGACATTGTTTTGTAGATGGACTTGAACATCGTGATGAAAATGCTATTTACAACTGCTTACGTGCCTATGCTGCCATTGATAACACCACAAGTGCAGAAGAAATTTTTCGCACAACTGTTGTGGCACCATCAATTCATAAAGTTGTTCCACATGGAGTTTCAGGCATGGATGTAGGATCATCTGGTGATGATTTGGAGAACGATTATAAGCAAATGAAGCAATGTATTGATAAAGACTGCAAATTTTTGTTAGAAATATCTGCTACAGGTTATGTTATCTGCCCTTTCTTGCTGTTCTACTCCCATGAATGTACACTTATCTTCCTTGTTATTTTATGCTGTTTGAAAACAGTCAAATTATCACTATGAAATGGTTATGTTCTTGTTTTGTTATTCATGTGCTTCTAGTATGTCAACTTGTGATGGATTGACAGCAATAATCATTTGTCAATTAACCAGGCGTGTTTCTGTAGCCTTTTGAAATTATATTTTGAAAATTAGTATTTAGGACAAAGAAAAGTGGGGAACTCTTTCATGCAACTCACACTCGTTACATTTATAGTCAATCTTTCAATGAACTAATATATTATTGTTACGATGGTGTAACTAAACTATAACTTCTGTTCCTTCAGAAAACTCAGGACTACATGTATTTGAATTTTTGGCCAATTCAATCCTAAAAGAGGTTCTCTCAGCAATCCAAAAGGGAAAACCAGGTGCCTTTTCTCCAGGAAGACCTACTGAATTTTTAAAAAACTACAAGGCAAGCCTTGATTTCTTGGCATACTTGGAAGGTATAGTCTTACTTTTTTTTCTGTGTTATTTTTGCGCATTTAAATAATTTTATCCACTAAATTTGGAAATCCAACAATATTAAATTCGAATGACCATTTAGAGATCGTAATATTGCATCTTTGGTGAAGGATATCTTCTGCATTACATTAACAATGTCCAATTGGCATTGAAGGCTATTGTCCATCCAGATCTGCTGTTGCTAAATTTCGAGCTGCAGCTGTGTATAACGAGTTCATGAAGCAATGGAACACGGGGGTTTATTTTTCTCTGAGGTAATAAATTCAACTTTTTTCTTTGTTACTTCATCAAATCTTTTATCTTTTAAGTGTAACAGAAACAACATCATATTCAATGGGTTCAAGTCTAATAACTTTATTCAACATCAGGTTTCAGGAAATAGCTGGGGCTTTGGATTCATCCCTTTCAGCACCCAGTCTAATCCCCGTTCAAACTTCATCTTCTGGCCAGGGAAATATTCAGGATCTAACATTAAAGCAAAGTGTAACACTTCTAGACTGCTTGACAGCATGCTGGAAAGAGGACGTTCTTGTCCTTTCTTGTTCTGACAAGTTTCTTCGTCTATCTTTGCAGCTCCTTTCAAGGTTAGTGTAGATTGGAGATGTAGATGTACATCTTTATTATACTGATAGAAGACTGATTGGTTTGCATACTTGTTTAATGTGAATAGATACTCTAACTGGTTGACATCTGGTCTGGCTGCCAGAAAGATGGGTACAGGCTCTAATCCAGGTTCTGAATGGGCTGTAGCAGCTGCCCCGGATGACCTAATATGTGTGAGCATCATGTTTTGTGTCGATTCCCCTCCTCCACCCAACCCCACCATAAAAAAAAATGGAAAAATGTAGTTGGAAAGTAAAACATAACGACGAGATTGAGAATTAAGAATAATCCCACACAAAATACTAAAGCAAATGTTGGATATGCAGATAATCCATGACCTTGGTTGTCTGGCCATGGTGGTATCTGGTAACTTCCTGGAAACTGTACTTCGGCTCCTATCATCATGTACTGCAGATGTTCTTGATTCAGTAAAGCAGAGCATTTTGCACAGTGGAAAGTCATTGAATAGTTTAATGCCAGAAGTTATTGGTGTCATAATTTCATCACTGGTTGAGAAGTCTGTTGAGGTAAGTGTTTTATTCTCATGTATGCTCACTATGCACGAGATTGAAAGTCCTTTCCCCTCCGTGTATTAGCATTAGAAATTTACCCTCGCATAAATGCTAGACTGATTTAAATAGCCTTTTTGTTGGTTTTTTTGAGTTGTTCTCGCGTCTGTAGTGTGTTCTGTATATCCGTCTTCTGGATCTTCTGACTTGGTTACTTTTCTGAACTTAATTTAGGACTTGAGACAGCTGAAGGGTATAACAGCAACATACAGGATGACCAATAAGCCACTCCCTGTAAGGCATTCGCCCTATGTATCTGGGCTGTTACGTCCTCTTAAGGTATTCATCAAATTATCACCCTTCTGAACCATTATTTTTTTATACAATACGTTATTGCCGCATGCACCTTCAGGCTCACCGTGTCCTTAGGCGCTCCTTCAGTGCTTGGACTGACTGGGCACTGGGTGCGCAAACCTCTCTTTGGCTAGTGAGGCCCACACAATTTTTTTAAAAACTTTTTTAAAACGTTAATTATCTTTTTTCTTTCTTTCTTTTCTTTCACATCGTTACTGTCGCCGGGCCACCTTTGTCGTGTTTTTTTTTCTTTCTTTTCCTTTCATTTGGTGTTATTAAATTTTTACATATAAGACCATATGTAATTTTAGAACTCAAGATAATAATTGTACAACCTGTAGAACAGATCCTGTCCAATTAAACTATAAAAGCTTACATAATTTATATGTATAAGCTTAAAAGTTAGAAGAGTTATTTTTTGAAGTATGTCGTGGTACTTCATTTTAAGATGTATTCTGATATTTTTTGTATAACCTTGACTACTCTCCGTATTGATTTTTACCATCTATTGCTGCTTCGATCGTGAGGGGTAAAAGTTTATTGTCTAGTTCTAGTTCCAAATGAGGGGTAAGCTTCGTATCCGAGGAAACTAAAGTGACGTTATGGTTCTTACTGCACCAGGCTTTGTTGGATGGAGAGAGAGCGGCAACTTTTTTAACAACGGAAACAAGAAATCCACTGCTGATCGGTGCGGTGACAGAGATTACTGGTCGTTACTACGAGCTAGCAGCTGATCTTGTTAGCTTGGTTAGTGCGGATAAACCAAACTCCAGTTTCATCCTAGTCATTAATTTTGAAAGATTCTCCCCCCCACCCCCACCTCTGTACCTATCTATGTGTGTCTTATTTTTACAGTGTCGTTCATGGGCAGGCTAGGAAAACAGATTCGTCACTCCAGAAAATCCGGCAGGAAGTTCAAAGACGAGCCGGAGCAAGCTCAGATGTTTCGGACCATAACGTCTCTGACACTGACAAGATTTGCATGCAACTCTTTCTTGATATTCAGGTATGAATATATCTTTATTGTGATTATAATTGCTTGCTAGGTAAAAATGGTGCTTAGTCTGTGAAAAAATGCAAAAGCTGTTACCTTTTTCGACTGTTAAATACAGTGGACGCATAGAAAACACACATTAGGAGGTACTAGTGAATTAAAAAATCTTCAAAATCATTATCAAATGCTTATTTAGTATTCTTAATTCCCTCATGTTCAAGATCTTCAACTTTTTGTTCTTGAATCCTGCGACCTGGATGAATTTTGTGTGTCAATGTTATCTGCAGGAGTATGGCCGCAACCTTTCAGCCCTTGGGGTTGAAGCGGCGAGTATCCCCACGTATCGTTCATTTTGGCAGTGTGTTGCCCCTCCAAACAGGCAAAGCTCCATTAGTTTCTGATGTCTAATTACTGGGATGCGTTGTCTTTATGGTTGTATCTCTCTCTCTCTCTCTCAATTGGTATATTTTTTGCTGTAAGTTGAGTTTACTTGGAATGCATTCTTTTCCACCCCCAATTTGGTCACAGGTATTTGTTCATATTGAGAATAAGAAATTTTGTAGTAGCGATAAGGAAAGATTCGGTGGACTTGGTTTGATGGAAGATGTATGGATAGGATATTTATAGTCTCAACGATATTATAATATCATTGTTTTTTTTTCCTTTTATAATATTACGTTACAAGGAGACAAGTTTGAACTTTTTCTAGTTCAACGATAAAGGGAGGGTTTCGAATCTTCCGATTTTTTATTCGAAAATAGATATCTTAACCAATTGAGTTAGGTTTAAGTTGGTATAAAAATTTGGACCAACTTCTAAATCAACTATTTTATTTTGAATTTTTTGAAAGGATAAAATGTACAGCTCTAAGTTAAATTTATAAGAGCAAAATTTAAATATAATAGTAGCATTTGTATTTGAATGAAAGAAAATGGTTGATTGAAGGAAGTTCCAGTAGAGGGCGTGAGAATAATATTGATTTTGATTTTCTATCTTCAAAGTATATTAACACTTGTAACACGATTTTGTCTCTTTGATTATTGTAGTCATTGGACTTCTAAAGCTTATAGTATGAATTGACAAAAATATGATGCAAAATTTTTACCATTCACGTTTATTATCATTATTAAAGATGGATGTAAAATTTTGAAATTATATATTTGAAATTTGAAATAGTAAAATTATACTTTGTTTAGTTCAACTATTACAAGAATAGGAGATTTAACTATGGATCTTGTGACGGGTATAACTATCTTTATTCACTTGAATTATATTTAAATTGACATAAAAATTTGAATTGATTGGTAGTTTATTACATTTCTCTAGGTTGATAACTCATTAAGCAATAGCAAATTAGTTAAAAAAATGTATGACATGAATTAAAAAATATATAAATCATCGAAGAGCTTCATTTAAATTTCATACTAATTGCATTTTTAACCACAATCATATGGATAAAAATGACCAAATTAGATGACTTCAATTCATTAGAAATTAGAGATGTGAAGAGATATTAAAATTAAATTTATAATTATTTAAACAGCGGTAATTAACATATATGTCTAAGAGGTTTTGAATCACACTCATAGATGTGTTATACTTAAAAAATATATAAAAATATAAAAATAAGAGAGAAGATTCACTCATTAAAAGGAAATATTTAAGAAATAGTAAATAATAAATAAACGAAACTAAAAAGAAAAGAATGAAGAAATTAACTCACGAAACTTACGATATACAGACGTTTCACAAGGGGTATGTTTGGAATTTTAAAAACATAAGAATGGCAAAGAAGACAAAAAGTGATTTTCTGGATCTCATTTAAATAAATTTGGGTTGATTAATCAAATTTATAAATAAATTTGCGAGCACCTAAAATTAAATCGTGTACATGCGGCGCAGCAGATCACGCCCTTCCCTCTCCTTTATATATTGCACAGAGCTGGAACCCTAGACTCCACAGGCTTTAGCGATTTCGGCATCCAGCACGCATCGTGAGTTCCAGCCTCCCTTGCCGGCGGTAAGCTTCTGATCCCCTCATCTCGAATCGTCTCTCGAATTTATTCTCGACGAGTTACGAACAGATAACTAGAAATTGGAATTGTTGAACACAGAGAAATCACATCAGTTAGAAATGGCGGTCGCACTCCATGATGTCAAGTCCGCAGCCGGTTTGAAGAAACTGGACGAGTACCTGCTTAGTCGTAGCTACATTAGCGGGTTAGTTTATCATATTGTTACTGTTTGTTTGCTTCGACATTTTGTTCATAGAAAGTTCTAAAAGTATCGGGAGTGAAAGTGATGGGTTTTAGCAGTTATTCTGTGGATCTGGTTTTTATATGTTTGAGGAATTATCATCCTCAGGTATCAGCCATCTAAGGATGACGTTACCGTTTACGAAGCTCTCTCCAAACCCGTATCCGGCGAATATGTCAACGTGTCTAGGTGGAGCAATCACATCGCAGCGCTCTTGAGAGTTTCGTAAGTCGTCAAATTGATTTGCAGGAATTTATGGTAGTTCTCGCTAATAATTTGTTATATAACCACTGGATTTGATAATGGTTTTGCAGTGCTGTTTTTGGAGAGGGTTCTGGCGTTAAATTCCAATCGGCGGAAGCAATTGCAACCCCACCGGCCGCAGACGCAAAGGTGAAAATGTTACCTAATGTTTTCTTATTTCTACGTGCTACGTGTAATTTATGCTTTTACGCGAGGGGAGACATTGTGATCTGCCTTGTTTTTTAGAGTAAGATTTTCTATATTTCCATATTGATAATTACGTACCTGGTGTGCTCTGAAAAAATTATCAGGCTGCTGCTGATGATGACGACGATGACGATGATGTCGATCTCTTTGGTGAAGAGACTGAAGAGGAAAAGAAGGCTGCTGAGGAGCGTGCGGCTGCTATCAAGGCTTCTGCAAAGAAGAAGGAGTGTGAGTTTTCTTAGTAATTTTATGTAACTCTCTTTTTCATTGTTTAAAAGAGAAAAAAAAATTCCTTTGTTACCTGATTTTACTCTGGTTCTTTCGTTTTTCAGCTGGTAAGTCATCAGTTCTGATGGATATTAAGCCTTGGGACGATGAGACTGACATGAAGAAACTAGAAGAGTCTGTTAGAAGCGTTGAGATGGAAGGTTTGCTCTGGGGAGCATGTATGTTCTTTTTCCCTTTTATCAGCTTATAGGCTATGATATTTCTTCATAATGTTGGAAGGAACCTGCTTTCCTCTTTATGTTGTTTGCATGATTCTAATTGGATGGCAATCTTTGTTTCTCCGTGGCCTTGCATGCATTACATTATTTTCTATGCTTCTATCTCCATCATATCAGTCTACTGCTTAGCAAGAGGAGGATGCAACGTAAATTTTTACCCAGAATCCTTAAAATCCCGTTTTATAGTTGTCAAAATCATTATCGTGTCAACATAAACTGTCATCTACTGTTTTAGTATTGTGTAAATGTAATTGATTGTTATATCCTGTGAATTTGTTTGACACTTCTCATTTAAATTGCAGCCAAACTTGTCCCTGTTGGATATGGTATTAAGAAATTGCAGATAATGCTCACAATTGTGGATGACCTTGTGTCTGTTGACACTCTCATTGAGGAATGTCTGACAGTTGAACCCATTAACGAGTACGTCCAGAGCTGTGATATCGTAGCCTTCAACAAAATTTGTAAGTACTTTTTTTTTTTTGCACATAAGCTATTTAAATTTTATGTTCCAAATGTTCTGTTGAATAAAAGCTACTCGAAACCTGTTATACCATTTCTTAAATCCGTCATCTTTTATAGTAACTATTGTTCTCAACTGCTTGCAGAATTTTGAGCTTTTCGTCAAGAATTGAGAGCATGTGGCTTCAAAGATGTTCCGGAGTCTGGGGAAGATGTTTTATTATTTGTTAACTGTCATGTCTGTTTCTCGATTCTAGCTCTTCAAACTTTAATTGTCGTTTGACATATTTTTATTTCCATCTATATTTGCTTTGAAGTCAGTCAGTTTTGCCGTACTTGTTTCTACTGATTTTGAAGAGAGGTCATGGAAATAATCCACAGTTATTATGTTTCATACTAGTATGAGTGAATTTTGCTTATTTAAATTGATAACATTTGGCATATACTTTGTGTTTTCTAGAGGTATTTGATTTTATCTACATTAAATGGCCATTTCCGCATTTAAAGAGTGATGCAATGGAAAGTTGAGATGCTAGGAGTGATTGATCTGGTGATGCTTAATTAATATAAAAAATTTAACCAACTTTTGTAAAGAACATGAGAAGAAATTGTCGTGCTGATTGGCATGAACATATACCACCTTTAGGTTTAGCTCAGTATGTGAATAACAAAGATTGTATCTGTTTTTAAGCAAAAGGTTGTCTAATTCGAACCTCTTTAGGTTTAGCTCAGTATGTGAAGAACAAAGATTGTATCTGTTTTTAAGCAAAAGGTTTGATTCGAACCTCCATGCAAGCAAGGATTAGAGTTTTAGAAGTTTAAATTTGGCTGGCAGACATTGTCAAGTGGATGAATAGGCTCTATCTGATACGATCTGTCCTAGAACACCTACCACCAGCTCAAGAACAGACCGCGCCGACCATGAGACCCCATTAGGTGTAGAGTCCGTAGTCAAAATCTTTTATACTTCTAAACTAACTTTTAACATCACTTCTATTCTTAAATTCTTTCTAAATACACTATTCTGACCGTCAAGTTCTGAGCCACTTAGAAGAGCGTAGACTACTCCTACAGACCAACACGAACCCAATCGAAGATTGCTCCAAGCCAAGCACGCTTAACTACATCTACATCTTTTTGGTATAGGTAGTGTCTATCAATTTTTGTAAGTCTTTCTTGACTATTCTTCCATGGTCTCAAGATTCCTCTCATTCGAATGTGGTATCGGTTCATTCATATACCTCTTCTCTCTAGTCAGACGTCACACTATCGAATCAAATTAGCCAAAGGTGTGTCGAACAAGATGTTCAAATAAGAACATCAACACCCTAATAAACTATTCATGCCCAGATTGATAAACTATTAAGAATAATAATAGATAAAAGGAAATTTATCATTTATTGTAATAGCTTTTTATGGAAACCATGAAGATAATATTATCTATTAATTTTTAACTTAGTTTCAAAAAGTGACAAATTAGTCTCTGACCTTTAGAAAATAGTTTTAAAAAGTCCAATAATTAAGCTTCCATTCGGAATGATGACATGGCTTGATGAGTTGAATATTTATTTAATTTTATATTACTTTTAACATATTTGTATATATTTTTTTTTGTTAAAAGGAGAAAGAAAAAACATATTTGTGTATTTATTATTATTTTTTAAAACATAAGGAAGTGCTACTATAATAATTGATTGATAATTACCAACTACAATAGAGAACAAAAATAGGTAATTCAAGTCTAATAGAAATGAAGAAATCGTCTAATAGGTAATTGAGAAGTGATCCAACAAGACCCCATGGTTCATTGCATCCCACCTTTCTGAAAATTATCAACTAAATATGGAACTACTATGAAAGATGTCAAATCCCCAAATGGATAAATCAAGAATATACTAAATTTTTTGAACTGTATTTACTACATTGGAAGAATCAAGAAAAATCACATTCACCAGTCAACAGCTTGAGAATCATTGGTAAACGGAAATTTTCTAAAATAATGAAGTCAACAGTGTTCAAAAGAGAACTACAATTACCGTAAAGACTAGTTACAACCATTGTTTTAAACGTCTGTGCCGTGTGTTTTTTTTTTCTATTTTTCTTTATATCTTTATTTCTTATAATAATAATAATAATAATAATAATAATTTAAATTCATTTATTTAATTTAATTAATATCAATATTTCATATCTTGTTCAGTTATGTAATTAAAATTAGATTTTGTTATAAATTATTAGTAAAACATAAAATTAAGCAACGTTAAACTTCAATTTATTAATTCAAATTATTTTCATCAATATTTGTTATCTTGTACAGACATTTTTATCGACATCGATATTTTCATAAATAAATTACTCATATTTTCACATTTTGATTGATAAAAAGTGATCAATTATATCTTAATTACGTTAAAGATCAAAATTTTATCTACTAATCGAAATAGTTTTTATTAATTTCTGTAATTTTTCTCCAAATATCCATCAACACATTTCTAACATTTTAACCTTGGTTACAACACAGACCATCATTAACACTAGTAGCAAATGAGTTATGAAGTTCTATTTGCTTTGTCCAAGAAACCATGGCAGCCCTGCTGGTTGATTACATTGCTTTTTCGGTGGAAGTGACACAATAGGCCCCAGGAAGATGCGCCACAAATCAAGTACTATTGTAACCAACATTGCTGCTCCTAGAGAATCAATAGCCACTCTTGGCAAGTCCCAAAGGTCACCAGGCTTCTCATCAATCCTGTTGTGTTGAATCAACAAGTAGAATTTTATTTTAAAAGATTTAAATCAGTTCCTAAATACAAAATTCAGTTTCAGCATATGAAGTTGCTAGGGAAGCCGAAAGCAGTTGAAATTGAAACTAATCAAAAGGACAGGTTCTTCTTCTACATCCAAGTTCTCAAAGTTTGCTGGAGCAAAGGAGAGGACCAGGAACTAAATGTTCTAGTTCTAGTTCTACTTTAAGTAATTTGAGTCTCCAACACGACCATTTTTTGTTGCACATTTTACTTTAATAGCATGCTTTGTAATGCCACTATGTCTTCATGTTTATTGGATATTCTAATGAAATTTTGACTATTGTAAAGGGTGGTTATAGAGCCATGAAGTTCGGAACATAGCAGTCTCTTGGATGTGGTAGCATAGCATCCATCAACCTCATTCGGACCTTAATCTTTTCTACAAGTACAAGTCATTGCAACTTACAACACCACTGTACAAACTACTGAGAAAAGATAAAATGTTTGGGCAATAGAAATGGCAACAGCATAACTACAATCAGAAAAGTTCGGGTACCCTCTAAAATTATAAGTTCTGCATTTGAAAACTCATCGTACTATTTCTTCCCTTATCTGGTTTATTGCAATTCTGTCTGCGTTCTAAAGTCGGCAATTGTTTTAAGATAGAGTGGTGAAGGGAAAAATGGCAGACTCTGTGGTTTCTTCTTATAATAAGCAAAATGGTATATACATATTAAGGCACTAGGATTGAGATTATTACCTCAAGAACATTGGGAAGCTGACCCAGAAGTAGATCGCATAAAACAATGACCCAAATTTGTACATTGAATCCCGATCCACAAATACGTAGTAAGGGAACTGCACAGGTTCGGAGTAAGATTCAAAGTAAGACGAGTACCAAATAACCACTCATGATGAACAATTTCTTCACTGTATAATAATTCAAAACCTAATATTATTCAACGGGAATACAAAAATCAAATATAATATAACATAAGAGTAAAAAAAGGTTTCTCAAAACATACATCAGAAAGCGTTTTGGAAATAGTTTCAGAAAACATACTCAGTAGCAATTTAGTTTAGTTTCACCACCCAACATGATCTTCAAACATGGAAAAGCAACAGATAGAACAGATGTTTATCGACTATACAAGAGGAGAAATATGTGAAATTACATGATCGTGAAAGAGCAACAGATAGAAAATAAATTTATTGACTGGACGGGAAAAAATGTGAAATTACATGATCTACGACCATGGAAAAGCAACAGATAGACAATATATTTATCGACAACACAAGAGGAGAAAGATGTGAAAATTACATTAGAAATGGCCAGAGTCTCCAAGTATGCAACGAAATATGAGAGTACAAAAATCCATGTAACCTCCATCATCCATTGAATATTCTCTGGCAAGTCCGCAATAGAATGTCGAAGTCTCCGCAAAGTCATGTTTGATACGACGTGATAGAACAGAAAGCAGACATGCGTAAGAAGAAAGGTCGTATGTGGTACCTGCAATTAACCAATTGTTTATTAGAAAAGGTAGTAGGCAATGCTGTGTTGTTTTTCTGATTACCTTTTAATTTTCAATCTTACATTGTTCATCGTCCATGATGGAAAGGTATAAGATGCTCCCAAAACCGTGAAAAAATAGTGGGTCCAAAAGTAATTCCCAACGTAGCTGAAGATAATAATCCAAAGACTAGCCTGCCACAAAGAAGAAGAAAAAAAATTATTTTGTTGAGTTCAGGAAACAAACCTTTGTGAAAAAACTGATTGGTGGTATCGGGTTTGACAGTTAAATGATATAAAACAACTACAGGCATTTGATTATTTGGAAAGAACTGAAATATTTTTCGACTTACACAGCCTCTCCATACTCGGAATCGGGAGGATTGATTTGTTTAGATTAATATTTCTCTGGAAATTTGCGTTGTTATCTTGATTTCATCTACGATATAAATGAACAACAGCTCAAAAAGGGGTAAAGTTTGATGTGGACGACATTTTCATAGCCTAAGGGTCTGCAGCAACGAGTGTTGGAGCTGTAGATCAGAGAGAGACCAAAATCTCATGGAGGGAAAAAGTACCAGGTAAGAGGTTGAAATATATTCTTGCCCATCATAATTGATTGGAAATATTGACCATCGGAAAGCAGGATCTTGGTCGAGAAAACATTTGAGAAGAAGAATAAAGATTGTAGCCAAAGAAACCACTTCTCATTTACCAAACTCAATTTATTTTAATGATAATAGCATCTGCTTCTGAACCATTGAACTGTAAGAAGTAACACACAAACACAAAAATTGTAGAACACTAACCTTTACCCAGTAACGCTCTTTCCAAGGTAATTTGCAGTCAGCCTGCAGCCAATTCCGAGTAAATAAAATTAATTTGTGTATCTCAAGTTATGGGTGATGCATTGAAACGTCGTCCTTCTTCTTTGTCTTCTATTGCCTAGATTTTTTTTTTTTTAAATGACTAATATTCAATATTGCTTTATCTTCAAAGTGAAGATGACGTGGTAAAGAACTTGAATCTAAGACAACCGCGGTCAAGGCAGAAGCAAATCTTCTTATCCCATACAATTAACTGATGGTTGTACCTTTCCAGCAAACACCACTGGTATCAAGAAAGAAGGAAGTGCTGCTAACAGTCCAAGAAGCAAATATTCCAATTCTGTAAAACTCTGTCAATCAGCATAAAAAAAAGGTAATTCAAGTCTAATAGAATAGAAATGAAGAAATCGAAATGTTGGACAGAGTACAAAGTACAACAACCACAGATTGATGGAACTCGATTAAGAAAGATGTAAAACCCCCAAATGGATAAATCAAGAACATGCGCTATTCCTTCCTTATTCAAGCATGAACAAAAAGAAGACGCCACTAAGTTTCAGTTCAGAAAAAAAGAAAATAAATAAATAAAAAAGCAAACATCCAACCCCCCAAGAACAAAGAAAGTCAACACATCAAACCCTTTCAAGAATTTCACCCAGCCTCCAAGATCCATCGAAATGCAGCAATAAAAATTAAAAGAATCAGTGTGATTGAACTAATTTCATAGAAGAGGCGGTGAGGGCACACCTCGTAGAGTTTGAAAGGCACGACGATTCCCAAGCAAAGAGTGAGCCAAAACGGAGTGTAGGAAAGAAAGAAGAGCTCTCCCCATCTCTTGCTAGGGTTTGTAGCGAGCCATGGGCTTGAAGATTGCTCGGCGGCGGCGGCGGTGGCGGTTGCAGTACCTGGCCATCGCACAAGATAAAACGAAAATGCAGAAGAAAAGACAGTGAGATCAGCAATTTTACCGGCCATTTCAGTGATTAAGATCTAAACTAGAGCTATTGAGATGACAGATCTCGGCTTGAAAGTCTCCAACAGAAAAGAGAGAGAACTGAGAATCGCCCGCCCCTCTTCGCTCTGCAAACTTCAAGATTCACCACAAACTCGACACGTGACCCAAACTATCTTCCCATCAAGTCAAAAGGATGTCATATATATATATTTCAAATTATTATCATTCATTCCCCCACCTTTAACCTGATTCAACCGGTTAAACAGTTAAAAGTGACTTTAACTGCAATATCAATAGGTGGGAATTTTCATCTCAAATATTCTTAAACTAAGAAACTATAACTGTTGTTTCAATTTATGAAATTGGTGGGGTTTTTTTTTCCATACAGATGACACGACCTGCACCAGATTACTTGATATGTAACTCATCCACAATAGATCCCAAATAGTTATGAGATGCATTGTTAAACCAAAATGACCAAAATGAACTGATCTAACATTTCAAAAATTAAATAATGACTAGAAAATTTTGATTGGAGTAAAATCACAAAATGTTTGGCGGATAAAAATAGATAACACATACTTGAGAAAGAAATATTTACACTACATAATATATGATCTTTACAACAATCAATGTGTCTCTTCTATCAATATTCGTAACTAATTTCATAAATCAAAATCAAATAGATTCCATCGATAGAAGATATCCTTCTCCTGGACTTAATAATCAAATCACGATGGAAATTTTGATACAATACAACATCATTGAAACCACATTAATTACATAGACAAAACTAACAATAATGTATTAATATGTAAGAATATATGGCTATATGCGATCTATACCGGGTTGATGGCAAATCTCAACAGGCTGGTTAGAGACTCATGTGCTACCTAGTAGAAAATCAAAGATGAAGGAATGAGCTGACGAGCTCAATAAGTGGTAGAAGTTTATAAGAAAAGTATTGTTTAAGAAATCATATTAACAAACTTAGCAATAAATTATAATTTATGAAAACGTTGCGAAAATTTCGAGAGATAAAGAACTTGAAATACTTTGTAAATACGTCAGCAAATAATTAACTTAATGTTTACTGGTAAGAGTTTTTCTCATCAACTTTTTAAGAAAACACATCATTAATTTGTATCCAAAATTGGTCATACTGATCTATAGTAATCTCAACTCAACACATATAACATAGCAAACTAGTCATGGTATGTATAGGCTATACTCCCACACGTATAGAAGAAGCTGGTCATACTATGCATCAAATAGTTGAAAGATACGTAGCAAAACAATCATCGTCGTACCATACATCAATACATCGAGTAATCTCAAAATGTATAGAATGATAAATATGGTCATACTAAGTGTCGAGTAATCTCAAAACACATAGCAAAGCAATTTTGGTCATATTAGTTCAAGTATTTAATGAGTTGAAACTTAAATTATTTAGATTCGATATCCCTGATAAATTGAATTATAATTCATATAAATCTATATTTTAAAATAAAAATGATATAAGATCTCATAAACTTTTCACCATTTCACCGTGAGATGAAATCCCAAATTACTCTCTCTCCTCCATCTCATTCATTACCACCAAACTTTCCAAAGTCCACAGTAATAACCATTATGGAATTAAATTCTCTCTCCTCAATAATTCCCCATGTAATAGTAATGTCCTTTTTCTTAATATTTTACTTTCATTATTTGCGTTGAAATTTTAACATAAATACTATTAATTTCATTTAAGGAGGAGCACGAATTTATTTTCCTTACTTAGTATAGCTCCACGGTAAAGGTAAGAGATTCAATCACATCCTCACTTCTATTGGTTTTCTTCTTGTAGCAATCCTTCCTTTATTTTTAATTCCCTTGCTACAGCTCATAACTTACTTTCTTTTACTGCTTTTCATATCAAACAATTAACCTCATGCAAGCTCGAGGATATAGAACCCCACAACACCCATTTTTTTGTTTATCGTAAAACTCACAACCTTGTAATCTCCTTCATCGTTCACTCGCCTTCTACTACTTTCCTTTTTTAATTTCCATATATCAAGAAAGAAATACAAAAATAGATAAGTAAAGGATTTCTAGCGAAGTTATTGAAAAAAAGGAAGAAACATAAATGGATTGAGCTCAGTTCATTAGTATCTCATACGTCAAGTATGCCCTCACAGTTTTGCTTTAATCTAAAAGGTCTGGAAATAATTGTCTTCCTTTATATATCATGAATCCCCCCTCCCCCGCTGATTTGAGATTTTGTTTGCTTTCCTCGCCGACCCAACAAAATTGAACTCTAATTTAACAAGATGAAGAACGAATCACCCATTTTTCTTACCAACGTGGTACTTTGTCTGGATTCGTTACACACCCACCGGGGAGTTTTCTTGATTTCAGAGAAGTTCGAGCGGCGCCGGGCATGCCATTGATTTTGCATGGAGTTCACTAGCTCCAAGAAGATTTTTTTTTTTTTCGCTCCTCGATCCCTAAAAGTTCAATGCCAAAATTGGAAGGTGGACCGAAAGTTTAAAGTTATTTTGAACTAACTTTGTCTTTTTCAATTGACGGGCGTCAGATTCAGCAATCGGCCTTCGCATAGCCTCCATTGATGGGGGAGTTTTGCTGCTTCCAGTTTCCTCTCTCAGAACCTCGGGAGATGGGTAATGGAGGCGAAAGAGAAGCATTGGCTGTGTGCAGCGATAAGAACATGGGATCGGGGATCACTATTTGGGATGTGGAAACAGGCGATACTCTCCTTCATATTCCGACTTGCGCTTCGCCTCCTTATGGTTTGATTTGCTTGAGAAATGAGTTTCTTGTTGCTTCTCAGACTCGTAAGGAAGGGTCCGTTGGCGGTGGATCCATCTTCATTTGGTCCCTCAACAAGGTATTGATTAATCAATTAGAATCCAGCCGATTCTTTGAATAGACATTTTTTGTTACTTGCAAACTTTAGGTCTCCAATGTCCCATTATTTGTGGTCAAATCTTATTCTGCTTTCAGTTGTTTGAGTGATCATGGACGGTTTACTATATTTTTGAACTTGAGGAGTATTTTTGTTGTTATAGTCCTGAGTTCCTGAGTTCAAACTCTGTTAAATCCTCCTAATTAATATTGATAATCCACTTGTTAATTTCCGAATTGCCTCTTAGGAGATTAGCAGGGGTGATTTAACAGTATTTGGCCTAATCATTGTGATTTTCAGCCTCAACCTCCTCTTAGGAGCTATCCATTGGAGCCCATTGGACCACTTGCCTCGACAAAGGACGGAGTATATCTTGCAGGTGGAGCTCTTTCAGGAAATATTCATCTCTGGGAGGTTAGTAATTAGCCGACATTCTCTCTCTCTCTCTCTCTCTCTCTCTCTCTCTCTCTCTCTCTCTCTCTCTTATCCAGAATTCATGAATGCTCATGTATGTGGATATGTATTATGTGCATATACTTCATTTAGAGGTTAAATTTTCCCATTCCCCAATTTTCACCTCGAATCTATTTGGTTGAGGCAACTTGTAGGTGGGTAGTGGTAAATTGCTCAAGCTTTGGAGTGGTCATCGTAAACCCATAAAATGCATCCTGTTTTCTTGGGACGATTCGTTTCTCATTACCGGTTCAGCAGACGGAATGATTTGCGTCTGGTCCATGATTTGGTAAATGTATTCCCTTCACAATGCCACTGCAAATTCTTTTATTAAATCATTGCTTTTCATGGTCAAGATTTTCCTTTTAAATTTTGCAATAAGTTTGCTGGATGTGGAACATGAGAGAAGCTCACAGCCAATCTTGTATTGCCTCATGGAACATAAGTCATCTTTAACTGGTCTACTTGCTATGTCTGTCTGCACGTCAATAATCATTTCAAGCTCCCTCGATGGCAGTTTAAAGGTTGCTAAACAGTAACATTCTATCTATAATTCCAACTGTTGATCTATAATAAAATTTATTAACATTTTCTGGGTTGCAGTTTTGGGATCTGATTTCGGGAATGATTATGGGATCTCAAGCTCATACTGAAGGGATCACTGCTATTGTTCTTCATCCAACTGAGCAACTATTGTTCTCTGGGAGCGTGGATGGGCAAATTTTTGCTAGCAAGCTTGAATTTGGAGTAGATAACTGCATTGCCATGAAAGATAACCAATTACTTGCTCCAAAAGGACACAAGTAATATATGGTACTTGAAATTTATGGGTGTTGATTGTAGTATGACTTTCCTTTTCTGCTGTTATCTTTGGAACTCCTACTATTGTCTTTCTATTTTCTTTAATTACTATCCGAGCAAAGAGAATGCTTTTTCCTTCAAACTATCTTAGCTTTGACAGAAGATTAACATAGTATTGGCTGCTTTGCAACTTAGTGTTTTCGTTCCTTTAACCAACAATTGATTGCAAGTCCATTAGTTATGCCTTTCCTTTATACACTTCAATAGAAAGTTCATGTTTAAGTTTCGCCAATGCAGAGGAGCTATTACTGCTCTGGCCTTCAGTCGGATGGATCTAATTTCCACATCTGAGGACTGCACTGTTTGCATATGGGACATCAGCAGTCAGAGGATCATACAAAAGCTTGACCACAAGAAAGGTAATAACTTGATCTGCTTTGCCAGTAGGTAGTTTAAAGTTGTCATTCTCCTTTAGTTATGCCTTTTCTTTTTTGTTGAACATGAACTTCCTGCCTTTTTGTAAATGGCATCTGACTTGCCAACCTTTTGGCTTTTGAAGATAAAAACGTTCTTGGGTTATATCTGTAATTCTGGAAACTGGAACTCAACTGAGATTGCATATACAGAACCTTTTCTTTTCAGAAGGTCAATTTGGGATCTTTGAATATGCATTGGATTACTGTTTTTTGTTCATTAACAGGGAGAATAACCAACTTGGTAGCAATTCCATGGCCATCCCTGATCTCAATGTCAAACCGTAAGAGAGCCTTGAATCATTTCTCCGTGTCATCACTCGACAAGTATCCTCAGCCAGCCAACTTGTTGAATAGCACGATACCTCTCTTTCCCCCGCTCCATCCCCTCGAGGAAAATTGGAATTCCATCAGGTTCTCAAGTAACGACTCACTGAATCAGCAAATATTTGATATGAAGGTCACTCTTTCTTTCAATGTGGGCTTGATATAGCTAGTTGGGTCACGTGAACAAAATGCAGCCTATATTATCATACTACCATTCTGAATTCTCCTCTTCCATTGTGTTCAGACAGAAGGGACATCAGCAGCAATACAGATGAAAGTAGAAACAAGTTTAGAAAGTCAAATGTGGGCTTCCAGAATTACAAAGCAAGTGATGGAGATGAACAACCATCTTCAATCGCGGTTGCTAGACATGATGAGGATTCGATTATTCAAGTCTGCAAAAGTTAACTCACCTACAAAGAAACTGAAAGGCAAAAGAGATCGAGTTGCAGGGATGAGGGAGAAGCAGCCATCGTCGTTTCATTAATCTTTTGATGATCGTGGATCTTCATTTCTATTATAGGCTTGTAACAAAATACTGCAGAGGCTCAACATTTTAAATGTCTGAAATTTTAAATGATTGTATCTTTATTTAATTTTTTTTAATACAATATGTTGGGGCAGTGATTCGAACTTTCAATCTCAAGGTTTTGATAAACATGTCTTAACTCCCTGAGCTATATTATGATTGACAGATGCATGTATCTTTAGATATCATATTTTGTTTGATATGAAATTCTATAATAATGTTTGAGAATATTTATATTTGAAAATGTCTAAAAATTATATATTTATTTCAAAACAGTCTCTATGTGTATTTATGCATAATGCCTTAATTAATTAATTAATATTCTATTATCAATTTAGATAATACTCTATGCTAATTTTAAGTGTTGTTTTAATTTGAGATTTTTATAAAGATTTAATACTTAGTGACATTTTATTGGATTATATTTTTAGACTTTCCATTGTATATGTATAATTAAAATCAATTTGAAAGGGAACCTACCAATCAAATAAATAGAAACATTATACAATTTGTTGATTTTATGTGTAAATTTAAGAGAATGCACTGGATAGCAAAAATCTTGTATATTTTATGTGTAAATTTAAGAGAATGCACTGGATAACAAAAATCTTGCATGCATTTCAAAATATTTCAAATGTTTTTTAAAATTATTAAATATAATACAAAATTAAAATTATGATTTTGGAATGTTTCGTTATTTCAATTTTACCCTTTTTATTCTTCCAGATCTCGTGCATAAAATTAGGCCTCGTTTCTCCTTCGTATATCAGTAGTTTATATCTGTAGTATATCAGACACTCATATTTGTAGTATATCAGATGTATATCACACACACATTGCACAAACACTTATATCAGTAGTATTTAGATATATATCACATACATATTGCAAACATGTCAAACAATTATATCAGTAGTATAACGAATGTACATTGCATATACATATTTGTAGTCAGATATATTACAAATACATTACAGATATTACAAATATATTACAGATGTATATCACACGTATATTACAAATATATCATATATATTATAGATATATATAACGTACATTCCTTTGTTTCTTGGGCTTCTCCATATTTTGGGCTTACCGGATAAATTGGACGTTTTTCAAATTGGGCTCTGTTTTTCTCAAAAAATTGCTATATTTGAAAATACCTAAATGTTAGTGCTAAATTTATTATTTACCTGATATTTTCGTCATTTTTGCAAGAGCCCCTAAATTTAATATGTTAATATACTTAAAAGTTGCTTATTAATGAATGAATACATTAATTTGCTAACTTGAGCACAACATAACTGGTATATATTCCAATAAAAAAATAATGATTCAAATTTTCGTTCCTACATGTTGTACTAAAATAAACAATTACATTAATTTATTTTAATTATAAATTTTAAAATAAAATGAAAAAATTAGTGAAAAAATATAATAAGGAACAACTAATAGTAAATATCCCTAAAATATGGAAAATTCATGTTTCAAACGGATATCATCCTTCTTGAATCCTGTCATCTCTCATGAACATCCTAAAATCTCTCATGAGTATTTTAAAATGCTTGAAAATCTCAATATGCTAAAAAAAACACATTACATGTTGTTTAAATTTAATAGTGATTATCCAAAATAAATGAATTTGAGTTTGATTGGACCCCTCCGTAGAACTAAAAGGTCAAAATTTTACTACCCATAGTCATTTTCCAGTAAAATGAACAATATGAAAATTTTCAAATTACGTTCATCAAGTCAATGTCAATATACACACACACATATAAATAAATATAAATATAAAGATAATTACATCCTATTTTATCTTTATTTTCCTCCAATGGTGTTAAAAGTCTGGTGTGGACCAACAGGGCCCAGTCAAAGATTCAATAGCCTTTTAAAATACTCTCAATAAGGTAACTGGGTGTTTACGGGTTGGGTTGGGTCGGTTAGAAGGCATTTTGAGGTCAATCAGAATTTTCTGATTGGTCATATATAGGAATCGTTGGATTTGAATTGGATGGTCAACCCAACCAAATATTTTCGAGTTGGGTCGGATTGGGTTGTCGGTTTGTTTTTCTTTTTATTTTTAATTATCACGGCGGCGACGGAGAATTAGGATTAAAACTTAATGGATGGTTGAGATTAAGATAAAAAAAAAGAAGAATAAAATATGAAAACTTTAAATGAAGGGCGATGATTAACACTAAAGGGACGATAACTATGAGGATAAATACACATATATGCATAAATTCGGGTTGGGTTGGGTTGACTCGATTTTTTAAAAGTTAAACTCGAAACCCAACCCAACCCAATCGTATTGGAAAAATCACAATTCATCTAACCCAACCCAAACCGATTTAGGTTGGGTTCGTTGGGTTTTCGGGTTTTTTAAACACTCTTACAAGTAACTATTCAGTAATCATTGATTCATATATTATTTTTTCTGTAAAATAATTAACTATTTTCCTGTTACATAAACACGTAATTAGAGAGAGATTGGAAAATGTCTGATGCATAAGTAGTAAATACGATTACATGCCAGGATGAGTTTCCCATTACATAAACACATAATTGAAAGAGATCAAAAAATTTCTGATTACGATTACATGTTATTTAGGATGAGTTTCTTTTTTAATTATTACTTTTATTTTAAAAATATTTTATTTATAAACTAAACACAATATGGGATGTATTTTAAAATATTGAATTCATATTTTATTGAATAATATTAATTATAAACCTAGTTTAATTAATTAAGACATTTTTTAATATCTATGTTTAAATCATTTTTCTCTCTTCTTTTGGGCAATAATAAGAAAATAATTTAACATAAAATAAATTTCGAAAAAACTAAATCAAATGATAAACAAGGATAAAAAGAATATTATATATTATATATCATCCAAAATTCTATCCACACGAACAAAAAAGAGAAAATCCAAGCCCAAACGCTGTCAACTGCAAAGAGCATCTAAGTGGCAAATGTAAAGTTGATGGTGACATTTCTAATCATCTTTAAAAATGGTGAAATGATTTTTATAAGTAATTAATTAATTTTAAAAATAACTATAGAATCTAAAAAGATTAAAATAATGTTAACTTTGAATCTTCGATAAAGAAAATAAAAGAAAAATTAGAAAATTGTAACGTTCGAAATGGAATTGGAAATATTTTAAATATAATATAATATTTGATTATTTGGACTACAGTAGAGAATCTCCAGCGTCGTTGGAGAACCAATTAATCGTCCGATCAAAATAAACTATGTGTGAAAGCGACGCTAAGCCACAAGATTAACAGCGATTTCACTGTGTGTTCATTAGGTCGTCTCTTCTTCACGACATTATAAACATGGCGGCCGTGACTTGTTCTAAACCCTAGCATCTGAAGCTGATCCTCTGAAGCAGGTTCGTCTCAGAGACTCGCGAAGGTCACCACGATCGCTGCCGACGCCATGGCTCAGTTAATGGGAGGCTCTCTATTCTCATCCACTCCTGTTGCTTTCCACTCATCCAAAACAGGTATTTCGATTGAAATCTTCATTTTCTGGCCTGCTTCGTGACAAGATTGGAAATGGAAATGGAAATGAAATTTTTTATGGAAATGTTTTTCATTTGTTTCTTGGAGTTTGTTTGTAATTTTTCTTTTGGAAGGATGGATCGGTGTAATGTCGATGATGGAGAATATGGTTCGAGTTCGATTAAGTTCTGTTAATCATATGCTATGGTTTGTGATTTTTTGAGTATGTTATCTGAGATTGCACATTTTGTTTTTATTTTCAGAGTCAGTGCCGATTTATTGCAGAATGTCTGGCCCGACGAAGTTGCATTCATTCCAAGAGGCATTGCATCAATAATGCCCCCTCTATTTTCTTCAATAAATTTTATCAATATCAGCCTGCTATATCTGATTCTTGGACTGACTTAATTGCATTCGTGGCTGCAGCTGGGTGCGAAAACATGTGAAATTCATGGCAACAGCTTAGCTAGTAACAGGGCTAGTATTGTGCGATCTAATAAGAAAGGCGGTGAGTTTCCTCTTGTTGCTTGCTCTGCGTTTAATCTCCCTTTTTCTTTTGTAGTTCTGTTCACAACTTCTAAGCGGGCTGGAGAAGTTGGGGGTTTTTTGTTTATCATATCGAGCTTTTAATCATGGGATTACTCTGTTACGTACCGTTTTAATAGATAATAATTTTGTTTGTAGTTGCGTTTATATTTTATTTTATTATAAAAGATTGGTTTGTGGTGTATTTTTTGTTAGTAATTTTGTTCTACTTGTTTTAGTTCTGTGATCTAATGCTTTATAAAACGTGCTTTTGTGTTATTCCCTACGCATCGAGTTTGTGAACATTTTTGTCCTTTCTTTTTGAGACTTCAATTATTGTTGAATACAGTTATTCAGGCAATACTGCAGAGTGACAGAGAGATAGAAACAACCAACGGTGTTGGGACTAGAGGTCTGCGGGGGAAATTAAATAAGGTTGTTCTGGCTTACAGTGGTGGCTTAGACACATCAGTCATCGTCCCCTGGCTGAGGTAGGTTTCCATTTTTCTAATGACCCAGAGCAGAATCTATAAATCTGCATTCGCAAGAACTATTCGCTAAGTTGGAATGTCTGTGCATTTGACTTTTTGTGAGTTCCAAGCCGTCCCTTTTGCTTGTACTGCCTGGATTTTGCTTTGAGCTCTAGTCCACGTCGTGCATTCTCCTTCTGCATTCATCTCCGGGGATTTGAGCAGCCCTTTTTAGTATCTCATTCACGGCTTCTGAATTATTTCTTCTTATGGGAATTAATTATTGTTTGTATTGCAGGGAGAATTATGGTTGTGAAGTCGTATGTTTTACTGCAGATGTCGGTCAAGTATGTAATTAGCATAGGTGAATTTGTTTTGTGGGGGGTTCTTCTTTGTTGTTTTTTAATATTCCACTTGAGGAAACCTTATGAAAGTGATCTTTATGCATCTCTTTCTGGGCCTCAATTTGTAGGGCGTAAAGGAACTGGATGGTTTGGAACAGAAGGCTAGAGCAAGTGGGGCTTGTCAATTGGTGGTGAAGGACTTAAAGGAAGAATTTGTGAGAGACTTCATATTTCCTTGCTTACGTGCGGGTGCGATTTATGAAAGAAAATACCTGCTTGGGACTTCAATGGCCCGTCCAGTTATTGCAAAGGTAAGTGCTAACTTTAAGTAATATTTGCGTTGCCACATGGATTACTGAACGATAAATGAATTTATGGTTCTAAGTGACTTGTACGCTCGAATCACATCTATCATGTTCATGGTTTTTACTTGTTGATTTGGTAATTCCTTCCCATTCCATTTTGATATTTGGAAAAAATAGGCCATGGTGGATGTTGCCAAAGAAGTTGGAGCTGATGCCGTCTCTCATGGATGTACCGGTAAAGGAAATGACCAGGTATGCCCTTACACCCTGATCTGGATATTCATGTATTCTTTTTATCTGATGAACTGTATTGGTCTGGTATAATTTTTAAGGTACGCTTTGAGTTGACCTTCTTTGCTCTAAATCCCAAACTAAACGTGGTGGCCCCATGGAGGGGATGGGATATTACTGGTAGAGAAGATGCTATTGAGTATGCCAAGAAGCATAATGTACCTGTTCCAGTGACAAAGAAATCAATTTATAGTCGAGACCGGAACTTATGGCATCTTAGTCATGAGGTAATCCTCCTTCCTCAGCCTATTTGAATTTTTGATGGTCAAACATTTAGCGATAGATTAACAATTTCAAGTATTTGTTAACCAAAGCATGGGAAACAATGGAAATAATGTGGGGAACTACCTTTCCTAGTGTCAATCCTATGATGCCAAAAAATTTGGTTGCTTTGGCCTCTTTATGAATTTTATCTCTTGCTGATGTTATCTTGCTCATATTATAACTGAAGGGAGACGTTCTGGAGGATCCAGGAAACGAACCTAAAAAGGATATGTACATGATATCTACAGATCCAGAAGATGCACCAAACGAACCCGAGTAAATTTCCTTCTCTTGAAATGCCACGTGTTTACTCTCTCAAATTATTGCCTACTCTCAAACTAGAACTAGAAGTGTAGTAATAGAAGAGTTCAAATAGTATGAAGAGAAGAAGAAATATACCTAAAAGAATCCAATTTCCAAGTTTAAAACTTTTATGTAAAATTAGACAAAAAAATGTTAGCTTTGCTGTAATGTAGTAATACTAATACCTTTGTCTCTTTGGTATTGGGCATTTTCTTCTGCAGGTACGTGGAAATAGGAATTGTCCAGGGTCTCCCCGTCTCTGTGAACGGCGAGATGCTTTCACCAGCATCTCTTCTAACCAAACTAAACGAACTTGGTGGGAAGCACGGAATTGGCAGAATTGACATGGTGGAAAATCGTCTGGTGGGCATGAAAAGCAGAGGCGTGTATGAAACCCCAGGAGGAACCATCCTTTTCGCAGCCACCCGTGAGCTAGAGTCTCTAACACTGGACCGAGAGACGATTCAAGTCAAGGATTCACTGGCCCTCAAATATGCAGAGTTGGTATACGCAGGGAGATGGTTCGACCCTCTCCGCGAATCAATGGACGCTTTCATGGAGAAGATCACAGAGACCACCACCGGCTCCGTCACTCTCAAACTGTACAAAGGCTCCGTCAGTGTGACCAGCCGGCGAAGTATTTACAGTCTTTACAGGGAAGATATCTCCTCCTTTGAGAATGGGCAGATCTACGATCAGGCCGATGCCGCCGGCTTCATCCGCCTTTACGGCCTTCCGACCAGGGTCCGGGCAATGCTCCAACAGGGGGTCTGATGGGATGACGACGCGTGTGAGAATTTCAAGGTAATATTATTACTCCATATATATATAATATTCACACACTTTTTAATATTGGGGGCTTCTATTCAAAGTTAGAGGTTATAATGCCTTTAATCATTTAGTTCAAGATGGCAATTTTATTAGTCTTTCTTTTTTTTTTTAAAGGTAGTTCTGTTTGTCGATTATATTTGTACATGTAGTTTTCTATTGTAACTGAAGTTTAGATTTATATCTGAAATTAGGGTTGCATTATCTAGGATTTTCATTTATTATCTTGGGTTTAATTTTTTCTGTGTTTAATTTAGGGTTCGGTTTACTGCAAACCATAAATGTGAATTAATTATTTGTTGGGTTTGGTTATTTTATCTCCTTTTTTACCACAGCTATTTTATTTATGATTATTCGTTCGTATAACAAAATGATTATTGATTAGATTTGGAATGGAGGAGTTTTCTTTCTAACTAGATAACCAGTTTCACAAAAATTGTAAATTAAATGTTTAAAATGAACTCCACAGGTGTTTTGGTGAACAATATATATGGTAGATAATCGAACGATCACAATCACTAGAATAAGCAATAATATATTGGCCTTAAAAAACATAGCAATAATATAATTTTAACTTTTCTAAAAATAAATAATTCTTTTGTTCGAAAGAAAATAATTTTAAGCATGTCCATGTTCGGATTTGGTAAGGACGGTGGAGAATCAACTAGTTGGTATTGGAGATGAAAATTGCCTTCTCTTCTTTCAAACTTTATCAACTTTACGCGAATTAAAAATATCCTTTTTCTCTTTATTAAATTTTTACTAACTAATTGAAAACACAATAATAACAAAAAATAGCTTATGAAAGTGATTCAATTTATTATTTAATTTATTTTGTGTGTATGTGCCCTGTATCTTTTTTTATACAATAATACGTAGAAGTAGAAAATCGAATCCATAACTTTTTAATCAAAAGATAAATGTTGATGACATTATAACAATGACATACTTTCTCGCATACTTTTTAGTGAAAATTATAATTCTTCTCAATTAATTTTAATTAAATAAATCTTACGCCTCAAATAATTATAAGCGATTGTTGTAAGATTAATAAAATCCGACGTATCGAATATTTTCGGATGATATTTTGGGCCTTGCCTAACCAGAGTCGACATGACGTTCGGAAGGCACTGCTTTGTTCTCTTTTCATCCGCACGTTTGTTCTTGTGCTCGTTTCCAAGCCTGATTTCCTCTCTCTACAATTCAATCTCACCCGTTGGCCCAATAACCATACTCCGGCGTGTGACGGCTGCCGGCGTTGCGGAGGCCGCCGCAACTCCGCTCCGTCGACGTTTCATTCTGCGACAACACATATCTACCGCGACCTCTGCCTCTGCAGCTCATCCACAATTTGACTATGACTACTACTGCTACGATGATTACAGAGCAGAGCACGAGCCACGCCTTGATCGACTCGCGCAGCTCCTGTGGAGGACTCGGAAGGCTCGCTCCCGACGAGAGAATTGCAGTTAGTTTTCATTGGAAGCCCGCGCTCGAAGAAGCATCTTTACGCGGAGAAGCTGTCGAAGCTACTAGCAGTTCCTCATATTTCCATGGCCAGCCTCGTTCGCCAAGAGCTTAGCCCTCGCTCGTTCTTACATAGGCAGGTATCTAATTCTTTACTTCATTTTCAACTTGTTGCCACTCTTTTTCTTGCATTTTGCCGTGTTCCGACTCTGAATTCTATAGCTGTTTGCGGCGTTCTTGATCTTATTCTGCGGATCATCTTCTTCCTAATTCACACTTCGTTACGAGTTCAGAAGAATTTGAGGAATACGTTTATAGCTATAAATAGATATTGGCTTACTGCACCTTCTTGATTGTTTCTGCTAGGGAAGATATTCTTTATCTTCGATTGTTCTTTTCGCATTCAATTACAAGAATGTCACCATGCGTTGTGTCCTAAAATCTCTCTTTCAGCTATGCAAACGAAAAGTTCACTCCCTCTTAAAATTTGATATGGTCTTACCACTATTATATATATGAAACTTGCTGCCAACACCTTCGTGACTGTATTTCGTCAAGTTACCAGATACATGAGTCCATGAACTGTATTAAGATTAATTTTCTAGACAATTGCAGAATGAACTAGTCTTCTAAGTTAGAAAGTAATTGTTACTAGTCTCGATTATTCATAAGATGCGTTTTTGTAGACTGATCGTCTCACAAGAGCCTACCTTATTTTAATATATATTATATTTATTTTTGGGTTTTTTGGCAGTAGATTGTGAAGGCTGTAAATTGTGGAACCGTTGAGCCAGAAGACATAATAACCGGTTCGCTGTCTAAGAGGCTGAAAGATGGGTATGACAAAGGTGAAAGCGGGTTTATCTTGGATGGAATTCCCCGTTCACTTTACCAAGCCGTAAGTTCTTTATTCAAATAAGTTCAAATGAACTTGAGCCATCCCTTGAACATGTTTACTAGTTTTCCATCAATTGCTCGTTAAGACAGGCTATAATGATTATGATTGGACTCCCTATCAAGAACAACTTTAAAAAACACAAGGCAAATCAACCCGTAAATGACCAATTCGAGAAGATCATCTAACTCTCCACACTTTTTTAAGAAACCACACAAAATATACAAGATACTCTAGTCTGTACCAAAAATAACACAACAAAGGAACACCAAGGAAAGCCAAAAAACTACCGAAGGGAGTTGTAACTTTCCTTACACAACATTTACAAAGAAACCAAATAAAACAGTAAATTCTAAACGTGGCTGCCACCCACTTTTCCCGTTTTGCTCTTCGTAAACCTTTTGAATTGGAGTTCTAAAAGATTGTTGTTGACTCATTGTGTGAGGCTTTCAGCAAAAATTGAGTAAGATCATGTAGTTATTTTTTTGTGCTATATCTGCAAGATATTAAAATACCTAAAACTTCACGTGTATATGATATTATGTAATTTTATTACTACATGTTATATGAAGGAAAAATGGGACCCTTTCATGAAATTAAGGCCTTAGGTAATGGGTTTGCACATTAATTTCATGAAAGGGTCCCATTTTTCCTTCGTATAATATGCTTTGGACATTTGTTTTCTGCGGCTTTCGTGGATATCATAAGTTGTAAATTTACTGGTTGGCAGTGGCTCTATTCTCCTTCATTAATTTTCCCCTTTTTTCTAGCAGAAAATTGTTGATCAACTTGCTATGATCGATCTAGTTGTCAATTTCAGATGCTTCGACTTTCCTTCCATTAAGAATCACATGGGTAGTTTATCTTCCCATTCTTCCATTCTTGTGAGAAACGAGCTTCTGTTGTACATACGATGGTATAAAAACTGTTAAGGCTGACTAAAGCTTAATGATGAACTAGATTCAGAAGGTGCTTGGAAGAAAAAACTACAAATCTATGCTGAGCAGGTATTTCATTATATCAATATGATCCTCACCTTACATCACTAATATTTCATTGCAAAGTATAGCTTCCTGCTCAACTTAAGTTTGCTTGTTTCTTTCTTTGTTTTGGTTTTATTATTATTATATTTTTTTTGAATCAAAGCTCAACTTAAGTTGGTTAAGACTTAAGAGTACTCGAGAGTCTCACTCTCAACAATTTTCTTCATTACCCTTCTTCCTGGAATCTCATTTTATTCCAGCCCAAATATTTTCCTATTTTTATTTGAGAATGGACGTACAGACCATTAAGCTCCTTGCCGAAATAGCTGAAGTCTCAAGTTTGTGGAATCTTGATTCGTCTGTGATCTTTATTTTCCTTTTGCTGGCGTAATATTTATCCTGTAGTTTTCCATCTCTCACAGCCAGTATGTTGTTTGGATGTGCTGTATTTTGTTTTCCCCTTTACCCATCTACATTTATCACACCACTCTTTCTTTTCAACCCCCCAAATGTATATATATAATTCAAATAGCCCTTTGATACACAAGCACACAATATCCTGAATTCATATTAATTTATATCTCAACTTTGTAATTTCAAACAAAATTAGAAAGCTACCATACATTAATTTTATTATTTTATCTCGACATGACAAATTCTGTTATCTTTCTTCAGACCAAGCCTCTGGAAGATTACTACAGGAAACAAAACAAACTTATCAACATTGAACTTGACAGTGCACCCAGGGAAACTTGGCAAAAACTTCTGGTGGCATTACATCTCCAACATGTGCTTGCGGCTCCTAATTCAGAAAAGAACAGATAAAAATCATTCGGGTACAAATTGCATTCTACCATCATATCCAATCTCAAAATATTTTGTACAAAGGAAAAAAAAAGGAGATGCACAGTTAGCATGTTGTATAGTTTCAGCAAATATAGCGGGAAAAAACCTGTATTGAGCAACATATAGGCCTTAAAGCGAATGATTTGTATGAACTTCAACGTCTGTAAAGAAAGTTGAAGTTGCTCACGTTGTACTTGCTATACTTGAGGCTGTAATTCTAGGATTCCTTGAACTATTGAGGTCATGAAATCCAGTTGTGTTCTTTGACTAATGACATTGTAGTTACTAACTGGTCCCATAGGGGTTCCATGTCTTGACAAATATAAATATGCAATAGAATACGAGAATGTAATAGAAATACACACTCAAAATACATGGAAATTAACTACCATGATTGATTTAGTGGTCATTGGACAGGTAAAAAAGTAAAGGGATTTTGCTAGGTTGAATTCGTGGTGGCGGCCTATTGAAATCCGACAAATTTCTTTGAAAATTTGAGTAGATCAAATGATTACTCATGTGAGTTCGTTCGAAATGTGGACAAACTGGCTTCCACATTCAGGGATATCACCAACAAAAATTTACCATAGGAATTTTGTCCACATTACACAAGAGGTGTATGAATTTGTCGAAAGGGCCCCTGGTGTATGAATTTGTCGAAAGGGCATAGGAATTTTGTCCACATTACACAAGAGGTGTATGAATTTGTCGAAAGGGCCCCAACAATCATTGTAATGTTGGTGGGGCAAAGAAGAGAAAAAGGGACAAATTTGCCTGATGTCTACCTCAATTGGCTAGTGAAGGTCTGTTTATTTGATAGGGTGAATGATCCAATTACTGTATATAGTGTGTTTGAGAGTGATGAATTTGCCTAGCATGATTATAGTGTGTTTGAGACTGATGAATTTGCCTAGCATGATCAATGGAAAGGGGAGTAATTTTGACATTGACAAAAGTGATTTTGATTTCTGCTAAAATCACTTCAAAATACACTCCTAATTTCTTTTCTGAAGGCAGTGCTTTTGATAGATAAGTAAATTCCTCACCACATTAGAGTTTTTTTAATAGATGAGTGATGATAAAACAAAAAAGTTAAGATTTGTGAGGATCAAGTGTTGGTTGAAGGAGAGATAATTGAGTGGCATGTATTGCCAAGTATATCATCTTCTCCCATCATAGAAAATTGTTAAGTATAGCATGCTTATGCTCAAATAAGAATTCTTGGAACAATTAGAGTGAAGAAGGATGGAATTTAGATTTAAAAAATTATATAAGAAGGGTTAAGATTTTGAAATTTTCTCTAACTTGCCCCTTTAAATTTTCAAAATTGAAATATTCTATAGGTAAATAGAAGTTTGAATGTAAAATTTTCTTAAATTTATGGCTCTGACGACTAATATTATGCAAGAAAAGAGTGAGAACTCGCAACTAAGGCATGGGATATATAAAACGTTAATATCTAAGCAATTAACACGTAGGTCAAAATATTATATAACGATTGTGTTATATTTTCTAAGTTTGAAGTTTAAGTTGTATCATGCATGCAGGCATGTGAATGAATGACTATTTTTTTTATAATTTTTATGCGTTAAATTCTTTTCATATGGGAAACAGAAAATGTAAATTGAATAAGGAAGCAACAAAATGTCAAAACGAGTATAGTTCAACGATAATTGATATATATCTCCAATGAAGAGGTTGGGAGTTCGAATCCCCTTCCCTACCTATTGTACTAAAAAAATATACGAAGGTTCATTTCTTTCTTTCTATAAATACTACATAAGGGCCGTTGTCGGTTGTAGACAGATGGGAGGATCACTGTTATAGGTTAAATTCTAAATTCGGTCCTTGAACTGTTAGAGTTGTGTCTATAAAATTAAACATGAGATTTGGTTATAAAATTGAATGTAACACAGAACTGGAGTATAATTTCACCTACTTAGCCGCTCTCCTGTAAGATTGGCAGTTTTCTGAAAGAATCTTGCAAGAAAAGACTATGATGAACAGTAAAATCTTTTGAAGGGATTTACACTTTCGCATCAATGTCAAGAAATGACACGTCCAGAACATCAATCTGCATGCATTCTTATTGAAGTTCTGAGGAAAAAGAAAATTATTTGAGTTTCCTAAGGATGAATAGTATGTAAAAGAGTTGAGACAAAGCTGTTCAGCAATGTGCTTTCAGTAGGAAGGCTGGTTTCATGAAGCAACTTTGGGAAGAGATTTGACTCATTGTTGTGATGCAGAACTATATCTTTGATCACCATCCCTGGAATCTTGGACTTGATTTGCATATTGTAGGTTCCAAAGAACATCCTCCATCGATGGGCGACTCATCTCGGGGGAAATACACCTGTTCATTAGGGGAAAAATCGTCGATAGGGACTCTTGCGAGCAAGTCGCTAGGATGGTTGGATCGATGATTCGCCTCCGCCCCTCCTGGCTGTTTAAACTCATCTGTATGTATGGAAAAACCATTTAGGGCAGCTTGAATTGAACAGTTGGAAGAAATATTGCTTAAGCTCCATTCCTCTATCATAATTAGAGTTTTTATTCTCTTTTGGACCTTTGACAACCAAATGCTATGTATAGCAAGAATCAGAAATTTCATGGCCTACCATTTCCTTTAGTATAGAGGGATCTTTTCTAGCAGATACAGAAGGCGCTACAAGTGCCTCTAGTAGTATAAACCCAAAGCTATATACATCATCCTTCAAGTTCATCATTTGCCTGAAGATAGGTACCCAAGTGAGAAACAGTTGATTTTCTTCAAAAAACAACCAAAATGAAGAAAAAGGATTCTTACCAAGCTTGAGGGCCCTCTCCTTTTGCCTACACAAACAGAAAACACGAGTCATGATCGGCATTTATCGATGATTCAACAGCAGTAAAAGTTAAGTCCTACCAAAGATTTGGCTGGTTCTTCTGAGATAATGGACAATCCATAGTCACTTAACTTTGCCACATTATGCTCATCAATCAAGATATTGTTGATATTTAGTCGGTTGTCGAAGAAACCCGGAATAACTCCGGTGTGCAGGAAGTGTACAGCCTTGGCAACACTGATTAGAATTGCTAATCTTTCAGACCAGTTCAAAGCCTTCTCTACAAGTTCAATAATTTGTTAAACAAAAGAGGAACATTTCTCTGAAGTGGGAAAAGGTTGGTGTGAAATTTGAAATATGTTTAAAGAATCTCGGTCCAAAAATGTGTATAGATTACCAGTGAGATGTCTACGGAAACTCCCATTTGGAACGTATTCGGACACGAGGAAGACATTGATGTCATTGAATTCTTGCCCGTCTCCATCGATGCAGTGACCCAAAAGGCATACCAAATTTGGGTGCCTAAGCTTTCCAAGCATATCCAACCTAAGTTTAAGATTTCTGATTGAAAATTTCTTTGATACAAGCAAGGACCTTATGGCAACTTGAGTCCCATTCTCCAGTCTCCCTTTGTAAAGCTGCAAACCATATCAAAAAGGCATAATATATACAAGAGCTATTTCAAATGGATGAATTTTGCTTATAACTTATGAGAAAAGACTCAGAATAGTTTAAGTACACATACATGGGCAAAAGGATGGAATTCTATTGGAATAGAAAAACTATACCTAGACATTCAAAGCAATTCAACTATGATTTTTAATCATCTTGATCATGTGCATATTTTGTTTAGTGAAATTTCACGTGTAACTTTCAAATAGAAGAAACTTTCTATTTGAACATTGACAATCTGATGAATTATATAAATTCTTATACTCCCAATGCATGGTTTCCCTTCTGAACATTCCTATTCAGAACCCATCTCATGTTCACTTCTCAGCTTATTTGGCTGATGAGCCACTCATAGCTGGTTGACCTTGCTCCATATTCATTAAATTCGAACCGTCAATGCGACAGAAACAAGTCAAATTATTAGAATGTTACCTTCCCATATGAACCATCACCAATGATAGTTGATTCATGAAAATTGCTTGTAGCTTCATTTATTTCCTCTAATGTAAAAGATCGACACAATGGAAGACCTTGGATTCCTAACTTTGCAGCTTGAGAAACAAACCCTGCAAGAAGGAAACTTTGAAATGGTAAATCTCAACATCTTTCAACCAAACCTCCATAGTTCACAGTAGACTAAATTAATGACCATGAATGAAATTTTTGCTGAACTTACTTGCACTTGTTAGAAGTTCAGATGAGAACCCTGCTGCTGAACTATCCTGAACTGATTTCTGCAGTAGATGTTGCTCTGATATTCCTCTAGACCAACATCTTCTACATAAAACGAACCCGAGAGAAAGTAGAAGCACTGATAGCAAGATACCTAGAAGCAAACCCATTACAACTCCTGCATTTTTGCCTCTAGATTGCTCCTGGTGCTGGTGCATATGGTCTGTATCACAATATGATTTCGCATGCTGTTTCCCTACATTAACAGATAAGCAATTCCCATCTACCTTAAGAGTTCGTTTATCGGATTCAATGCCCAAGCATGAAGGCAATCCTCCTGTAAGCATATTGTTAGATATATCAACAAACTGAAGCATGTTGCCACACCTCAGATGGATTGGCAGTGACCCAGATAACTTATTTGAAGAAAGATTCAAGTGGCTAATGTTGGGCAGGGAGAAGATTGTAGCAGGAGGTATGCCAGTCAAGGCATTGTATGATACATCAAGCTGTTGGAGCTGCCTAAGTTGGCCATACTGCTGCGGAATCTCGCCCTGAAACGAGTTTTTCCCGAGTAGAACCACAGTCAATGCCTTCGGTAGCGGAGGCAGTGGTGAATCTATTTTGTTCCAGCTCAAGTCCAGCACACTTAGACCGTGTAAGCGACTTAGATCCGGTAATTCGCCAGATATCTCATTGCCAGACATGTCAAGCTCAGTAAGGGCACCGATGCTCAGGATTGAAGATGGAAATGAATCCTTGATCTTGTTGTTTTTCAAGCTTAACTCTGTCAAACTAGACAATGAATCAAACCAATTAGGCATAGTACCATTGAAGAAGTTGTCATCTAGTTTGAGAGTTTGAAGCTTCACCATGGAAGAAATCTTAGGTGGGATTGAACCAAAAATATAATTGGAGCTCAAATCCAGATATTCAAGTGAATATAATCGATGGATTTTGTCCGGAAGTGGACCCCAGATGCCCAAAGACACAAGGCTAAGAACTCTCAAGTTGTTAAGTCTAGTCAAAGTGGTGATGAAAGAATCAAGCGAGAAGCTCTCTGATAAAGTTCTATTTGGTATTGCAAAACCAATGAACTCGTCAACTTTTCCTTGAGCATCACCCTCAATTCTAAGCTCAGTGACAACATTTTCCTGGCATGTTACGTTAACTTGAGGAACAAAAGAGAGCGTGCAAAAGTCTACTCTGTGATCAGTCCATGATTCCAGCTGCTTTGGGTACTCCAAGTGCTTCCTCAGCTGGAGAAGCACTTGGGCTTGAGAGGCTTGCAATTGGTAACCTCCAGCAAATAAAAAAGTCCAAGCAAAGCAGAGAAGCAATACCAAAGCATATTTCCCCATCAAAGATTCTTCAGACGATGATCTTCTCCACTTCTTCTTCAACCAGCCTCTGTTTCAGAAACATCAGAATGGTGAAAACTGAAAACCCAATGTTTGTGATTGTAGTAGAAGAAGAAGAAGAAGCTCGTCAAACTTGGGTAGCTGAGAAAGTTACAGCCCAATAAATGAAACAGAAACAGAGAGCAGAAATTGAAAAATGGTGAAGTAGAAGTAAAACCCACCAATTATAATGTTAGAAAAACAGGAGACGACGAACAAATCGAGTCATTATTGAAGCAAAAACCAGCAGAGACCGAGTGATTCGTGCTCACTGTTTCTCTTCTGTGGATTGTCATTTCGAAAAATCACAAAGCAGTGAACTGGGCCACCTGAAGAAGACACATTTAGTTTTTGCACATGCTTCTTTTTCTCTTTTCTCTCTCTTGAAAACTATGGAAAAATGGGGTTTTGTAGGGATGGGTTCTGGGGTGGAAAGTGTCTCTCTTTCTGAGCTGGGGGCACAGTGAGCAGAACGAGGGTGTGGCTGTGAGTGGAATCCACCACGCCATCCTTAATATACTTTCACAATTTGGGATCTGATCTTATTTTTAGTTATGTCCAAGTTAAATTACGAATTCGACCCTCATCCTTATTTAAAGTTATAATTTGGTCTCTATAATTTGAGTTTAGTTTCGAGTTTGATCGTGAATTTGTTAGATCAAATGAGACCACCAATTCCTAAATTATGTTTTGTCTACTAAAAAATCATTTATTTACTTATACTTTTTCACAAAGTATTATATAGTCCACGAGAATAGTTGGTCGAATAAAAAGTATCAATCTATTGTTACATAAAAGAATATTTGTCAGTATGATAATAATACATGATTTGACCAAACTACAATTATCAAGTTACAATAGGTTCAAAACTTTTAGTAGATAACTTTAACTCAGCTTCGACCACATAGGATTTCGAATCCTTGCATAAAAATATAAAATATTTGATTGATCTAAGTTCATGTAATTTATCTTTTTTCTATAGATTGTTCAAATTAAATAGCAACAATGATCAATTTTAGCCCAAACTTTTTTTCTTTATTTATTAGCCAACTTGAAAGGTGCTCTCAATGTACTAGCACATACACCAAGACATTACATTAATTGTGGCGGGTCCAATAATTTCTAGAATGTTGTTGTCATGACGTTGATCCAGATTATGCGACTACAGCATCTACATAACTCCAAACATACACGTCAAAGCGAACATAATTCTGCAGTAATTAATATATATCTCCAACTAAAATGTTGCGAGTTCAATCCCCTACCTTATATGTTAGTANCATAAAGTCAAATCCGATAGTACTCCTCTATTCGTATTCGTTTAATTATTATATTCTTAATAAGTTTTTAAAGTATTAGCTCTAGATAAAGAGAAAATGGAAAGGATAAAATAATTATTGCCCATTTACACTTACATTTTTGTTAAATTATACAAGAGCATGTTTCTTAATCATTTGAAATTTTTCTTTTTTAGTACATCACTCATTTGCATTTTTTTAAATGCATGAAAAATGATGGTAAATCAAGCCAAGTGATGTAATGCAATAAAATGTACTATTACTCTTTCAATAATATTTTTTATTATCAACATAAGTAGAGTTTAATTAGTTAAAATATATATCATTAACCAAAAGTTTGAAGATTTGAATCAACGCCTCAAAGTTAAACTAAAAAAAATAATTACATTATCATCGAATTTAATTTCTCCAAATAATTTTTAATCTTACATCCATTGAGAATTAGCTATGAGCAATAATTGAAAATGGTAAGATTAGGGTGGATTCTCTATTATGACCCTATTTCAAGCGGAGGTTTTTTTTGTCCCTCGTTTATGATAAGGTCCTGTAGTGCCAAACTTGTACAAATTATTGTCATCTCTAAAACTAGCATAATTAATATTTATTGTGATTTAAAAAACTAAATATTTCTCAAGCTGCAAGCTAGATAACCAGACAATTATCTTGTTCAATTCTAAATATTCAAAATTAGGAGAAGCACCTTATTTTCCCCCCATTTTATAGGGCACAAAAATAAATTAAGCAACTTGTTTGAGGATAGTTCCAAATTCCAATCCAAAATTAAATAATATTAAAACTCAAAGCTAATAAACAAAGGAATAAATGTTGGGCATGGCCTTCTTGGAACCAGCCATTTCTGCTCCCAACATTGACAGGCTGTCTCCCATATGAATTTAGCAAAAACCCATGCAATTGCAAACAAACAATGCCAATATCCTTGGGGATTTTTTAAAAACAAACAAATAAATAATAAATAAAAAGGAGCAAATTTTTTTACCTTTTCCATTTTATTTTTTAACTTTTAAAATTTTCACTTTGGACATGGATTGTCCTATCAGCACTCTCAAAAGTCAGAAGTCAGAAGACAAATTTATTTAGAATTATCCTGTCCTAAATTTAAAATTAATTTTATTTTAACATTTTTTTTTCCCTCCCAACACTGCAAAAAGGAGGGTAAAATCCATCGTATCGTCCAACTTCACCGTAGACATGATACTAATGACTGCCTTGTGTTGTAGGACATGCAGCAGGAGCAGATCGTGTATTTAATATCGCAATAAATACATGGTTTAAATACTATTTTTCATCGTGTATTTTTTTTTTACTTTTATTCATTTTGGTTTACATATTTAATTTTTATATTTTCAATTTCTTTTTTAGTTTAGTTCATGGATTTCTTATACACTGTTTTGGTCTACGTAACAATTTTGATTCCTTCGCTTTCGTTTTTATCTCATTTTTATATCATAATTGCACTTAACTTACTAATTTTTTTGAAATGTAGAAAATGTTTTGTATTAAAGTACATCCGTTGTATATAAATTTTGTGTCAAAACACTCAACGAATATGAATGACAATTAACAAGTCTATTCCAAATTATTTTATTATTATTATTATTTTGATATATTCGTGAGTGTTCGGACCAACTGTCCGACTCCCTCATATTTGGTTGCCAAAGAAATTCGTAAGATATTATTAAATATTAGGTAAATGGCCATCGTGGTTTAAACTATATTCTCTCTAAATCTTTTGCTATTTATATTGGCCTTCATTGACCCACTAGCACAACCTATATTATAAACAAACTATATAAACACGACTTTAATTAAGTGTCAATTCCAGCCTAATTCAATTGACGATGTATTAATTACTATTTTAGAGTATGATAGTTCAATTTCTCATTTCATAGTTGTTGAACTTATTTAAATAAATTAAAATAAAAAAAAACTTCCAATTAGTTAAGTCAACTTTTTTAATCCATAAACCTAAAAAGATTTTTATGAGAAGCTACTTGTTTGGGAACTGGAATAGAAAAAGTTATGTCAAGAAAATTATGGCCGCCGTATTTCTTCGGATCGCCGCCGTGGCACGACGGAAGCTGCGAGTTTCCCCTTGACTGGGCAACGGTGGGTCCCACCGGCCTGTCTCCGTCAAATAATTCCGATAAATCGACAACTGGACTTGTTTTTAGTTTTTACACAGAATTAATATTTTCCAAATCCTCAATTATTGAGATCCGTCTTCTGAAAATATGGACCCACTCGAGGTTCCAGACGACAAAATTTTCTATCCGGAAATTTTCGAGTTGACTCATAAACATTTTCACTGATCTTACGAGACAACCACTTGATCTTCCAGCCCAAAAAAGGAGGAGAATCTCTTTTGCCAGCTCCTTATAAATGGACTCCGTCTCCCAAAGAGAATCCATTATTTTGACTAACTTATCCATCATTTTTAGATTACTCTCTTCTTCCCTCTTCAGAGTCAGAAACGCTCAGGAAAGGAGCAGGGGTTGTGCGCCCTCCGCCCTATCAACCTAATAATAATGAAGGGCTACCATATTTAGTTACCAATAAAATATCTAAAAATTTGATTACTAGATTAGAAGTCTAACTATGTTTGTATATTTTTTGTTTTTAGTACAGTAAATCTAGGATGAGAATTTGAACATCTAACTAGAATGAGTTAATATCTCACTTAACTATGTTCACATTGCGTTCTCAAAATTTAATATATAGTTTGAAAGACTTGAGAATTTATTGTAATCCTCTGATTTCAATCTATATAATCAGTGTTTTTAAAAATCTTGGTCAGTTCAAATGTCAATTTTAGATCTAGTCTCTCAAAAAAGATTTGAAATAAGGTCCCTCAAATTGTGTGGTTATAATAGAGTGCATTAAAAAAGGTTTTCTAGTGACATTACAACTTTCCCTCAATTGTCAACAAATGTTCTTGATGACACAATTGTTTCCCTTTTTAACTTTTATTGCTTCTATCCATTGTCAAATAATTATGATAATGTTAGTGAGTTGGATTTTACTTTTTTCTCTCTTTTGAGTAACTAGTGTGAGTGATAGACTAAAGGAATAATTTTCATTTCCATTCCCACCCTTTACTTTAATTTAGATAATTTTGAGGCATGTTTGAGAAATTATGATTTGAAATGATTYTTTGTACGTTTAGTTTAACCTATATACATAAAATTTTAATACAAATTTATGGTTATATTTCATGAGATTTACTGAAGGAAGTGTTACATTAAACTATGATTGAAATAAATATAATAAAAATAAAAATGAAGGATGTCATTTTTTAAAAGTAAGATCGAAATAGACTTTTCGAGAGTACAAATATTAAAATGATGGGTTTTAAAAGTAGGAGAAAAAATATCGACGTGTCACGTGTCGTTAAACAAATTGGCTAAAGAGTCCAAAGTATAACACTTGGAATATCGTGTGCCAAAGTACAGAAAAACCTAAAGGTAAGATCGAACTATCTCTAAGCAAGTTGGGAATTTCTTAGTAGATTCTCGACGTTCTAACGTGTTATGTGATCAAACAACGATTACAGCCGCTATGCATGTATAAATATCCGAGATAATTCCATCTTTTAGTGCGTGTGGATCTGAACATAAATTATACGCGAAATAGATAAGTCTAAAACTTCAATTCATTTGAAGAGAATCATCGACTAAAGTAAATTAAGCTGAGAATACAATCGTAAAAATGTTGCGTAAAGATGTTGGCGCGTATGATGAGACCCGCGTAAACTGCAATCCCAACGAGGGGTTTAATCAAGCTATATTTTTCCCGCCGACGATAAACCAAGCGGCCGGCGAATTGACAATTCGGAGTTCGCCTTCATGGAATCACTGTATCTTCTATTTTGTGGTGTACGAAATTCAATCTCCGATTTGTACCGTTTCGGAACTGCCTTCCATTCTTTTGATCGGCTTTCGGTGCCCTCAACCAATGTAATGTGGTCTCTGAAGGTTAAACGTTTCTTTCATTCATATATTAACACTGTATCTGGCGAGGATTTTAAGTTCGATCATATATTTATGTTGTTCTGTACTTGTTATTGAGCTTGTTTTTCGGCTAGTTACAGTAATTGTTATACATTCCATTCGAATTTTTGATTTTAGACATTCTCTGATTGGTCATGATGTGCGAATCTATGAGCAGTGACCTCTGCACATCATGGTTATGGCGATCTAAACTAGTTTGTTTCCTTTTCGGGCTCGGATTGGGATTTAATAATCTACTCAAGCTTAAAAGTTATCAAAAGTTTGTTTACTAAAGCTTCAATTGCGGTTCGGAACTATCACTTAGACTATGCAATTGGATGAGTATATATTCACCTCTCTTCCTGACTTCATTTTCAAAAAATAATTCTCTGCTTTGCCTACTGATCTTTGATATGGTTATAGTCATGCTCTGTCCGATGTGAGTTCACCATGACTGGGTTGCTATCGGTTTCATCTGAATTCCTGATTTCATTTGTAATGTATTTATTCTCGACTTCTCACCACGCTTATTCATCATGGTTGCATATCAGTTACTCATGACTGATGAGTTGAGCAACTTCCTGGAATTTAATCTACCAAAAGTTGAAGTAGGTGAAAAGTTCAACTTAGGACTTGCTGAACCTAAGATCACAAAATTTTCAAGAAACAAAAATCCCTTGCCAAAGTCACGAGTAACGACTTTGTTCTTGAGCTACTCTGTGGAGCGTGCTTGCATTTTGATAGTTTTATCTAAGACTTGAAGATTTGCATTTCCGTTGCGTCAACTTGAGTTGTTACAAGATCTATAATCTTCTTTGAGCACTTGTCCCCATCTATATTTAGCCTGGGGACCTGGAAAAGGCACAACTTGGACCGGGGCATAGCTACAGCATGTCTAAAGTTAAGTTCAATGTTAATCGATCTGATAACATTGCGATTCGAGCATCTTTCTTCTAGATACTCTTGATAAGGATATCATGTCGACAAGGGTGGACTAGGTATGGAATGGGGGTGTGAGAAATCCCAGCTCAGCAAATACAATTTGCCTTTTGCTCTCATTAATGACAGTCAGTTGAGCTAATATAGATACACAGACTAGCCTTTAAGAAGTAATTTTTTAAGGAACATACCTCAATGAAACTTTTTCTTGTTCTTTTTTGCAGAGTGATCTTAGGGTTGCTTTTTTTTGGGAAGTTTGGTGGTGGCTTATTTGATTCATTTCCCCAAGGACGGTATTCATGGCATTTTATGGAGCTGGTCAAGATTGTCAATGATAACGATCTCTATGCCAAACTAGCAAAATTTATTGACGATAAATCTAAGATGTCTGAAGTTCAAATTGCAGGATAGATTCAGATACTCGGTGATGAGGACAAAGCAAAGGGGATTGTTGAGGCCGCCAAGGCATCCATGAGTATTGCATAGGATTCCATCCCTGCCAATGAATCAACAATTGGAAGTGCTTATTCTTGATAAACCTTAATTATGGTTTTAACTCTGAGGAATATTTCTGTTTCCTTCAATTAACCGCAGGGTAGAATTTCTCTCCAGTGGACTTGATAAACGTTCAACAGATCAAAGACTGATGGATCTGTCTCAGTACAGGAAGAAGCTGTATGGCTACCTGGTTGCTAAAATGAATGATATTGCACCCAATTTGGTGCTGAGAAGGGCCAGAAGGCTCTCTTCAGGAGTTCTACTCGAATTCATCCTATCTCTTGTGGGTTTTGCTAATACAGCCTGACGTTTCCTTACGTTCAAATTTTAAATACCATTTTCCGATTGGATTTTTCTCGGTTGGTGGTTTCAGTGCAGGATGGTTGCATTCATTAACTCAGAGGATGCTTTTGTTTGTTTAGCAGAGATTTGTATTTTTATTGTCTTTTAACCTTATTTCAGTCTCCTCACCAGTACTTTTTCATCTAGTGTAGGGCACTAAAAGCTAAAGGTAATATGCCCAAGTAATGGTTTGATATTCCTTTCCTCTATCATTGGTCGAGCATTGCAAGGAATGAAGGTTGAATGGCTCTTTTTCTTGCTAACAAGTGATCAAATGCAACTTGCCTCAACTAGTTTGCGGGTACATTTTTTCTGTCACCAGTAACTACATCTCTTTGGTTTGTCTGAGAATGGAAGTGTTTGTTTGTACTTTAGTTTTCCAGATGCATCTTGGTATCATATTAACTTCGGGACGAAGCAGATATAGAGAATCCCAAAAACTTGCTATAAAAAATGTTATCATTCCTTTGGACTTTCGAATTTTAATATATATGAATAACAAAGGTTGTAGAATCAGAGATGTAAAACAAAGTGAATACCACTGATGAATCATTATGTGAGAAGTTGAGGAGGGAACAGTGAAGATGGGGGCAGGAGAATGCACCTAATGACAAGAAAAAAGAAAGAAAATAAACGAGTCAAGGATTTGAGAACATAGATGAATAAATGTTCTGGACAGTAGTTAATTGGGGTGAAGAACAAAGGCAATGCCTATTTTAACTGGTATCCATTCCTTGCCTGTACCATGCTGTAATTATGACTCTATCAATTTGACAGGTACTTCTCCTGAAGATGCCTTGGTATATGAAGTCTTCAACTTGTAATTTGAAACTCCAAGCTTCTTAGAGGTAAATTTTGAAGAATCGTCTGCCTGCAAACTTTTTGCAGATCTACTTTCTTTTTTTTTTTTTTTTAGTTTTATTTGACTTTGTTTTTAGTAAATATGTTGATTAACGTCATTTCTCACATCTTATAGAATAGAAATTTCGAATTTTTCATCCAGTACGTNTATGTGGTTCCTATTCTCACCTACCCCCATGGGAGTTAAATAGGGAAAGGAAAATGAAAGTGAGAACCAAACCACCTCTCAATCCAACCGGCCTACCTACCCGCCCACCTTAGCAGTTAGCAGCATCAATTTCCTAATGAACCACAGGTGAAATTACGCATTCAATCTGACAATAATGCTTGGGTGTATGGTTCAAATTAGAGCCAAAATTGACTTTTTATTTCTCTATAACGTTTCTTATAGTGTCATTGTGAGGAGGAGAAATGAGTGGGAACTTGAACCTTTTTTTTCTTTTTCTCTAATTCAACCATTATATAGGGGAAGGAAACCAAATCATCACCCTTGTTCAAAGCTGATACATGTTTTATGTACTTGGTTACGCTCGGATTGACATTGTGAAGGAGCTCGAATTGAGATTGTGAAGGGAAGAAAAGAATGGAGTTCCTTCAAGGAATTTGGGCTCTGTTCTTTTGTTTATATTTTCTTAGGATTCAACGGATGGATGGTTGAAGGAAAATATTGAAGAATTATTATTTTTTTCTAAGTTTCTTTTGAGACGAGGATGACTGATGAGATTTATGAAAATGTTTGATTGTTATATTCAAGTTTTTTATGAAAATATAAATATTGTCTTGTGTTAATTGGAATAAAGTAATGTTAATATTTTTGTTGTGGACTTCACATTTCACTTCATTCATTTCTTTTATGATTGCTAGTAATTTTTTTAGTTAATTATATATTTTTAATCTCCATGTTTCAATCTAACTTCTGATTCCTATATTTTTTTAATGAGCCTCATTGGTCTCTATTTTATGACTAAATTGATATAAACTTCAAAAAAAAAAAAAAACTAACAACATTAATGAGGGAAAAATACAAACACAGTGCTGCAAAATATTTGTGGTGTGATAAATAAGCTTAATAATATAATATATTTTTTCTTAACGGTGTGAATTTTGGTAAGTCAATATTAGTTGAAAAACATCAACTTGAGATAATAAGAAGAAGAAAATCAACTTGAATAAGGTACTAAAGCATTCTTTTATAGAAATATCTATCCAACTTTAATTATAGAATAAGAAAATAATATCGGTAGAGACTGATTTAACCTATTTTGATTTATGTATTTTTCAATTTGCTTCGATTTGTTTTATTGAACTTTTTTGTACAACATGTGGAGCGGACGATCGAACTCACAGCCTCTTGGTTCTAGAGTCGAGCTATTTTTGGCTTCAAAATGTTCATTTTGGTTTATATAATTTCAATATTTGTTTATAGGTTCAAAACATTTTAGTTGTCGTATTTTTTAAAAATGCCCGTGATTCTTAACACAAATTTTATAGACAATGAAAAATTTTTCATACAAATTTATAGTTATATTTTAAGAAAAGATATTAGAACTAATATAGACATTTCAAAAACTCTAACGACCAAAATAAAAATCATTTTAGAAATTAAGCACCAGCATTTTGCAAGTACAAAAAAGTAAATGAAAATAAATATTGGACAAAAAAATATATATAATGTAAATAGTAAAATTATTTATCAAATATATAAATAAATGAAAATATATATTGGACTAAGATATATAAATAATATAGACATTTCAAATGGTAAATAAGTACTATATATATGCGGTGGATGGATGATCAAATTCATACTAGGTGGATAGATTATCAAACTTATAATTTATTGGTTGGAGATATATTTCAATTACTGCTGTATTATGCTCGTTTTAGCATGAAAATAGTAGATGAGAATACACATTGGACTGAAAATAATAATAATAATAATAATAATAATGTACCGGTTTATCAAAGTTAGGCAATAAAATAAATTCAAATCTAAGGCACCTACTGATTAATTAGAATAATTTAATAGGTATGGAAAATTCAAATCGGACAAAAATAGTCTCGTCTCTCGAGGGAAACGCAGGTCACCAGAGTCAAAAGCAGGGGCATAACTGTCATTTCGATAATCCTCGGAGTCAAAGTCGAGGGCATTGCTGTCATTTCAATAATATTTGGCAACGACCGATGCTTGAGTTCAAAGCATCGTATACGCCTTTTCTTAAAGACCTTCAAAATCTCTGCTTTGGGGTTCTCTGCCCAAAACCAACCTCTTTTGGAAATCGGTTGAGGGGACGGGAAAAAGAAAAGAAAAGAAAAAAAAAAAGCTTCGGAGCAGAGCAACAATGGCGGGGAATTCGGCAGCAGTGGCCTTAGAAGACGTGCCCTCCGTCGATCTTATGACGGAGCTTCTCCGCCGTATGAAGTGCTCCTCAAAGCCCGACAAGCGCCTCATTCTCATCGGTAATTTTACTCTGAGTTTCGTTTTCTATGCTTTTATACTTTGATTTCTCGCTTTGTGTTTGCTTCTGGGTGAATTCGTGGTAATCTTGAGGAGTTGAGGCGTTGGATGGATGCAAAGGGGCCAGGGTTTGCATCTATGGCTCTAATATCCTGTTTTTCTCCCTTTCAAATTGTTGAGCTGCTGACTCGGAATCTGGATTTTAACTATTTTTTCAAGTTATTTTTGCCAGGGCTAATGGGTTTAGCTTCTTTAGAAAAATCCCATTTCAAGTAAAAGGCTAACGTTTTTACTTGCATCCTTCTAAGGGATTTGAGTTTTATAAAGCTCTAGTGAAAAGGGAATTCATCTTCTAGTTCTCTTTGCTCGTGTTCAGTTGCATGCTGTTTGTTTATGTCGGAGAGAAAATTATTTGGGACTTGTCTTTTCATTATCTTATCTTTTTCGATATCCAATCCCATAGTTTTGAGGAAAAAAATAGAAAATCAACTGAAAGAGTTTGTGAACTGCACATGGTTCTAGTTAATATCTGTTTGCACATTGCAAAATACACAAGTATTATGGATTATGCGATAACTTCATGAATTAACGCACAATGGTTGGTCAAGCTTTAAGAATATTTGGATGTTACTAAGCAACCGTGTTTAATTCCTACTCCCAATTAGGACCTCATTGGAAATATATGCTGCTAAAGAGTATAAACTCAAAATCTTTATTCCCAAACTGATTAAATATGAATACTTCCCTATGTCCATGGTTTGTGAGAGAAGGGATAATGGGATAAAGGAATCTAGAAGGAAAACCCGTGCAGAAATGGATTGTAGGGACTCTTGTGCTTTCAAAGGCATCTAATGGGGTTAAAGAATTTAGAAAGGAAACTAATATGGTGAGGATTATGGATGGAGTCGTATGTTACTTTTTGAAGTATGAGACATCTAGTGGGACAGAATTCTGGTTTCTTTGTACTTGTAACATTATTCTGATTGGAGTGCTTGCCACTCTCGTCAAAGGGTTTTCATTCAATTGTATGGTATGTTGTAGTTTCATCCATTTATTGATTTTTAGTCATTATCATGAATATTTGGTGCTGTTGCAGGTCCACCTGGATCAGGTAAAGGGACCCAATCACCAATCATCAAGGATGATTACTGCTTGTGCCACTTGGCTACTGGTGATATGTTAAGAGCTGCTGTTGCTGCTAAAACTCCTCTTGGTGTCAAGGCTAAAGAGGCTATGGATAAGGTAGAGGCTTTCCTCATGCTTTTTGCTATTAATTTCTTTTCCATGGTTCATTCTAGTTTTATTTTTGCTCTCTCATTAAAGATTTGGATTTCTATATATTGTAGGGTGAACTTGTGTCTGATGACTTGGTTGTTGGAATCATCGATGAGGTAATGAAGAAACCTTCATGTCAGAAAGGCTTCATTCTTGATGGATTTCCAAGAACTGTAGTTCAAGCGCAGAAGGTGTGAGATTCATTGGAATCAACATATATATTCTGTTTTCTTTGCATATTAGTATATATTTTGTGTCCATGTGCAAGTATTATGTTTTTGAATTACTCCGTTGCAGCTTGATGAGGTGCTTGAAAAGCAAGGAGTGAAAGTTGACAAGGTGCTCAACTTTGCCATTGATGATGCAATTTTGGAGGAGAGGATCACTGGGCGATGGATACACCCATCCAGTGGCAGAAGTTATCACACAAAATTTGCTCCTCCAAAGACTCCTGGTGTTGACGATGTAATAAAATCCTTATAACATAATCTTTCAGTAGAAATCAAATCGAAGTTGATATTTCACCCATGTTAACTATACATGTGTGTTTTGATGAGCTGCAGCAAAAATTCATAACCATCTTGTTTTGTGTTCAAGGTAACTGGAGAGACTTTGATTCAACGCAAGGATGATACTGCCGCTGTACTGAAGTCACGCCTGGAAGCATTCCACAAGCAGACCAAGCCAGTATGGTTGCTTTATGTTCTTGTTTTGATCTCATCAATTAGGAAGAGGAAAAGTGTGCATTCTTATGATTTTGTGATATGAAACCATCTGGTAGACACTAATAACTCGAAAAAAAAGTCACGAGCTTACATTGAACTGGAGAACTCAATAACTGAACAAATGTTAGCATAGTCATCAATTCTGTGGTCAGAAGATGTTGAGTTTGCCTTTACGTTTCTAAATTTTCTGGAATTTCAGGTGATTGAGTATTATGGCAAAAAGGGTCTTGTTGCTAATCTGCACGCCGAGAAGCCTCCGAAAGAAGTTACGGCCGAGGTTCAGAAAGTGCTGTCCTCATAGAAAGAGCTCATTTGCAGGAAAAATGAAGTTTCTGAGTCCCCAGTCATTTTTACTACTTTCTAGTCCACCCTGCTGTTGAATTGTCTGATAATATTCCTCATTTGTTTTTCAATCTTCGAACTTCCATTTTACGGCTGCTATGATCAAACTTTTTGAGGGCTGAATGAGTCTGAGAATCATTAGAAATAAAATGTTTTCTTGGAAAAAAAAAGATAGCCATGCACTGATTGAGTTCAAATTTCTATTCCTTCTCTTTATTTAATTATCATTATCATTATTATTTGTTTTAAAGAAATCTGCCTTCTGTATTATCTCTCTTTGTTGACAGTAACCCGTGCATTATGGATTGAGGAAGAAGCCTGAGCTCAGTGGAAAGCAAGATATTGAAATGTGGGAGATGAAATCACAGGGTTTGATGAAATTGAATTTAAAAAAACAAAAAATT